TGAATTAATAAAAAATGTGGTTAAAAACATGTCATACAATTTAAAAGAAGCTTGGCATTTTTTTTCAACCAGGACGTGTGAGCGCAGCGAACGTGCTCCAACCTAAAGGTGAGTGAGCGTAGCGAACGAACTTTAACCAGGACGAACCATGCGAACGAGCTCACATATGAAGTTAAACGGGGCAAAGCCTGCGGGTACAGCTAGTATTATATATATATACATACAGTGCTCGATTTGTAAAAAATGAGGTGCCGGAGCTGTAATCTATTTAGTGTGATTAGTGATTTATGACAATATTTTTATCTTCCTAGGGAAGCCTAGATTTAAATTGATTATTTTTTTAAATAAAGTACCGTATTGTTTTCATTCATTCATTTATATCAAACAAGTGCTCAAAACAGTTTGACGAGATTAACATCCCAGAACTGCCTACTATGAACGCAGGTAAAAAAATTTAAATTAAGTGTCGGTAGCCCAAGAAATAATAAAAAGAAGGGACAACAATAATATCAAATCATGAGCTTGTCACATTATTGAAAGAGAACACTGTCACAAAATAAATAGTTTTTCTATGTTTTATGTCACTCACAGTCCGTGAGGCAGGCAAAGGACTCCAAGGGATTACAGCCCTCACACACACACACACACACACCTTCACACACACACATGGGTCACGCGCTGTGGGGTAGGTAGGGCCCTGCTGGCGAGTGTGCGTGCGTTGGTGGAAGGGACGTTAATCCCTCAGAGTCCTTCTTCGTCTGTCTCATGGACTATAATGCTACTTTAAGATAGACTAGCTAATACTCTTCGATAAAGTTAAAGTTAGGAGAAACCAAACTGTACCATTGGCAAATTTGTTTTAAGGTTATGATTATAGTGAAAGAAGATATAAGAGGAATAGTATTTTTGGTAAAAACATTATGTAGGTTGTTCCAGAGAGAGTTTAGTTGGAAGCTCTTGGTAGAAGGCCGTTAATTTTTCAAATTAACCAGTTGAGTGCTAGACAAATTAATTACCGTATTCATATTATGTAAGACTTTTTTTACTTTTAATTATATTACCTGTTCTTGAATTGTAACTGTTTTGCTCTCACTGTTATCAATTATGTTTATTTAGAATAAGTCAATAAAAATATATAACAAAGAGAATTCTTTGTATTTGCTATAATCATTAAATAAAAAAGTGTTTCTGTGGTTAATTTCAAAGATTTCTAATAAGTTTTCATGTTCTGATAACATTATTTGAAACCAACAAAGGCTTATAAAATCGAAAGACATCTAGTTTACAACGTAACATTGAATTAAACCTTGATGTATCTAGATAAGATTATACTAATATTGCCATTTAAGGAAAACCTTGTTTGTCAAAAGATTAGTAACGCCATTTATGATCAGATCAGTCTTGTGATTCAACTAAAAAAATATCATAAAAACAGTCCGTGACTAACTAGTAAGTACTGCTAAGTAAGTAACACATTGAACAACTTGGTTGTTTGCTAGAGGTTGACATCAGCTTAAATAGCGGTTTATACTCCATAGTTTCCAAGCACAGATAGTTGAGGTGACTAGGGTGATGTCACTTGGCCAGTGGCATTCGTCTGCTCGGGTTTAAGTCCCGTCCTGTTTGGCAAATAGCTGGTGGTGACCTGTGTGTTTGTAGCGATATAGCCTATTACAACCACTGGGGCATAGTGAGGTGTTCATAATCCTTGGTTTAGACATGCACCTGGATCATCGGATTGGGCTAATCTTTTAGCTAAGTGGTTGGTTAGTATATCCTATAAACGTGCAGGTAACCAATGGCAGTTTTGCTACTTTTTTCAAATACGTAGTTTTTAGCTACTTTCTATATCCCTTACAATAAGATTTTAGTAAACAATGATAAATCGTTGTATAGTAATAAAAAGGTTAGGAAGTTCCCGCATAGTTTGACATCAGTAGTCCCAAATGTTTAATTAGCTTAGGTGATTAGGATAAATAGGTACAAATGGATTTAATAATCTTTAAAATCTCCTTACATAATTAATATATAGATGTTACTATACGGAAAATTAATTCAAAAGGTCATTTTGAAGTCTCAATTTCATCATGTTCATAGTAGTAAAAAACAGTACAGTAGAGCCCCTGATACCCGGCCTTGGTTTTACCGGTCCTCTGTTTATCCGGCCCCTTCCAGGAAGCCAAATATCATTGTCATATATTGTTATTCTTATTGTTATTCAAGATTGTTATTTATATAGTATCTATTTACTTATTACTTGTTAATTGTTATTCATTATATTATGTTCTTGCTGTTACCACTTTACTGTACTACATGAATTTTGCCATTCACAACATTGTATCCATTCTTGTAAACTGGTGTAAACCGTTGGGAAATAAATAAATAAATATCAGATTTTTTTTCTCACAGCTTACAGACGTTTAGATGCAAGAACTAGTCTTTGCAACTTGAGCGTTCTCATTTATCTGTTTGTTAAATTTTATTTACTATCTCACTATACTCAGTTGAGCTAGTAGGCCTCACCTCTGAACAGTTGGTTGATTATTTCCAAAGCGGGATTAGTACAGTACATTAATTTTTGTATTTCAAAAAATGGATGAGAAAGTTAAGTAGAATGTATGTACCATTTAAGTCCTCATGATCTTCAAGGCCAATTTATTGTCATTTTTACCTCCATAATTATTAATAGTTTTTGTAACATGGAATCACAATATTTGTAAGTTCATTACTTAATGACTTTAGCCTTTAAAACATGTTTTTTCTTCTAAAATTAATCCCAAAACAGACTTGAATGATACTTGTGGTGTGGTACTTAAGTGCTACCGTCTTATTTAAACAGTAAAATTAGAAAATATATCTATGCTATCGGTCAGCTGAATCAGATTCTAAATGAAAGTGAAATGAAATTAATGTACTATGCTTTTGTTCAATCACTTTTATCTATCGGAATCAAAAGCTGGGGGGGTTGTTCTAAAAGTATTTTAGAGCCATTAAACATAAAAGTTAATATTAAAAATTGGTTTTGGGAAGTGCAGGCGTTGCCCATCTGACACGGTATTTACTCAGGGGAGGTATAGAAGAGGCTACGATGACAGCTGTGGGCTTCTTATTAGCTGAGGGAACGCCATTACCGTGACAAAACCATCTGTAGCCGTCGGCCTTGGTGGTTTAGTGGTCAGCGTGCCGGGCTGATATGCCGAAGGTCCCGGGTTCCAATCCCGCTGGTAACATTAACTTTTTGTCCAAGATTTTTTTATTATCAGCAAGTTTGGTTGGTTTGGTTCGGTTATGACAGTTTAATTTTATTATTAAGTCATTAAAATTTTAATTGAGTAATTTCTAGTTTTATTTAATAGGCCTAAACAGAATGATTTTTTTCTATTACTAAACTGTTGTTATATTATTTCATTATCAGCAAGTTTGGTTAGTTCGGTTAGGTTATGATAGTTTAATTTTATAATTAAAAAATAATAAAATTGAATTTGAGGCATTTATAATTTTATTTTATGAACAGAACTATTTTTGCGATTAGTAAACCTTCATTGCCAAAGTGCTCTCTACAACAGCGTTGTTCACGGAGGAATTTTGAACTAATGCCTCAATCGTACCTCCCCTAAGTCAGACCCATCTGACACTCTCTTTAAGGATGTGTCAGTTTTAACAATCAGACAAATGTTTTAAGTCATATTTTTAAAAATTATAGCAACATTTTCTCTATAATTTCCCATACACACAATACTAGATATTCTACCCGAATTGGAATTACATCACTACAACTGTACAAATCCTTTTCATCGACCAACTCATTTTATATTGCACATGTTCTATTTCGTAACTTACAAAACTATTTTCAAAGTGTTAATCTCTTTGACTCCCCCACTTTAAACATATTCAAACGCCGTGTCAATGAGTGGTTACTTGGTCTAGGCAGGGACGAGGCTGAGCTTATCATCGCAGCTGATTACGGACACAGACGCTCCTGACACGACATGCGTCCTGACCATTGTACCCTGACTCGTTCTCCCGCCCCACCCCTCTAGACACACTTTGAAAGCCGTAGAATTCCTGTCACTATTACAGTTCATTTATTTTTATTTAAACTTAGTTATGCCACCTTAATTTTAACATAAAAACTTAATTTTTCACATAGCTATTCATCTCACAATTTTTTATTGTAACTCCATTTACATCATATTTTCACCTCATCATATCTCCTGTCATTTATTTATTTATTGCATTTGATAAATAATGTTATGTTTGGACGCAACTACAGTCGACGCACAGGCTCGCTGCCCATGTCGGCTTATTCCTTATTAACATGTACGCTTTTTTAAACATAGATGTAATGTAAAGGTTAATTTTATTTTATTCTTTTAAATTTACTTATGTTTTTTTTTTTTATCTTCCTTTAAATATTTGTGTACATATTCTGTAAATAATTTGTTGGAATAAAGAGATAATTCATTCATTCATTCACTGGAATGGTTAATTTAATTTTATTCTTTTAAATTTACTTATGTTTTTTTTTTATCTTCCTTTAAATATTTGTGTACATATTCTGTAAATAATTTGTTGGAATAAAGAGATAATTGAATGATGAGACTGTGATCACATATTATTACTAGGTATGAATTGTCATTTCAGTGGTTTAACAGGCCAAATCGTTATTTAGCCAGGGGCTTGGTCCAGTGGTGGCCGGGTATGAGGGGTTCTACTGTACATAGGGCGAAGCCGGGGACTAAATCTAGTAATGTATAAAGACATCAACAGAACAAAATACAACACCCCGTGTCCTGTTTTGGGTAGGAATTCTATCAATGTAGTTATCATTTCAGTGACAGTAACTCTAAAATAAATAACAATAGCGATTTTACCCATTAACTATATTTGCTTCTACCGGCAAACTACCGTGGACTAAATTTAGTTATATAGTTTTAAAAAGTCAACATTTGTATTGGTCTAAAATTAATAAAGGTGACCTAAATAAAACCAAAAGTTACCTTTCAGAATGGGGAGCTTTTGAAGTTCCCTATTTTTGCTTATATTGAACCTTGATGAGTTTTGCCTCTTATCCTTTTTTATGTAGGGAGGGCCAAACTTGAGTTTGTTGATCTGAGTGGGTGGGGGAGGTGTGATGCCAGCTGACAGTTGCACTGCATTTCCTGAACCCACTTTGTTTACCTGGGAAAATGTTCACACACAACAAACATTACATAATATATAATCTAATATTGTATATTGATTTGATTTGTGTATTTTGTATATATGATAGTTAGTAAAACACTTTAATTTCAGAACTAAAAGCATTGAATAGGGATCAATGATTGGGAATGCTTTGTTCATAAAAAAAATTCATTTACTCCACAAGTAATGTTCGTCTGTCACAACTGAATTTCAACTTTAATGGCAGTTATTTTAGTTTTGAATTTTTTTTACCCAGACATGGTTTACACTCTTGTAAAATTTAAGTGTTGACCTAATTGATTAATCATTGGCTCTTGCAGAAAAAATAACAGATACATAAGTGATCCACAAATTTACTCAATAAATGTGTTTCCAATAATTTGATTGAATCTAAATTGTAGCTTTTCCATTTTAAGTCCTTTTTCATTCAATTTATATAATTTGAATTTTTGAATGGATATTTTCTTATTAAAATTGTATTCATACTATCGGGAGCATTTCACTAACTCCAAATTTTGCAGCAACTTTTGGTCCAGACTGTACTTTGGAATAGGTGAAATTTGGAGTTTGTGAACCTCACCCAAACTATCATAGCACTTAAAATGTAACAAAATAGTTCATATTAAAATAACTCACCTCATCTTTACCACCATCCATTCCAACTTTTACATCTACTGGCTTGCTGCTTTTGGTTGAATCCTGCAACATAGGCCCATTGGTACAATTTTGTTAGCTTAACTTAGTAGACAATCTAACTCAGAGTAGTTTAGATTTTGATGTAAAGACTGTTAAATGTGAAATAAATTTCATCCTGCAGAGGAAAAGGTATGGTTTACTGTGCACACATTTTATGGCCGCTTGAGAGGCCAGTAAGTTTTTTTGCAGTTTTTTTAAAAGTAAGAATGTAGTAGAATACTGATTTAATGGAGGTCCTTTAGTTGTCAAGCATCTAGTTAGTAAAAGGAGCGTAAGCTCTTAAACTATTACAGCTCTTATAATAAAATAATTCAATACCTACCTAACAGGTGTTCTTATTATTTCAACATGTATACAGGATGTTCATTAAAGATGGGATCGGGAAGCCAAAAAGTTTATATTAACATTATGTTTTGTCTTGTTTTGTTTGGCATCTGTCTGTATGTACGTGTTTGTTTCACAAAAACATTTGTAACTCTTTAACAGAACGAGCTACAGAGTTGAGATACAGCAAAAATAATCATTATTGACTACCTTGCTACCTTTGTGCAAAATGAGAATGAAAACTCTTAAGCCATTTCAAAATGATCCTATCTATATTTTCTTATGTGTAATTTATGAATGAGAAGTGTGGTACCTATGTTAAGATTTTAGCAATGTTTTAGTAGTCAGGTGTCAAAAAGTAATGTAGCCTATATGAGATGAAACTGTAGCTCGGTGTTGTAAGTTAGTCGTAAATTTTCTATTGTGGGACCGCTCAACAAGTTCGCAGAAAAATATGTATCACTCACCAATATACAGGGTGTTCCAGACCACCCGGCCAGCTTTTATAGCTCCAAAATGAAAGCAAATAGAAACCTAACTGCATCTGGATCCCCCTATTTCAACCCCAAGGAATTCAGCAAAACTATTTTTAAAGTAAAAAAGCACACTAAATGGCATATTTTGGGGAGTGGGTGTGGTTTTTGCAAAATTTTCAAATGTAAAGGGGGTTCAAGTTATACCTCATTTTAAAGGTCTTTGAGTCCTGGTTATTTTAGTGGAAAAAGTTGTTAATATTTTTTTCCCTATTTACAGGGTGTTCAAAAACGTACAAAAAATTGACTTTGAACAACTCGACATAATTAGTTTTAATGAAGACCTAGACGTGTACATTAACAAAAGCAATCATTTTGAATGCCATTTGATAAACCATTAAAATACATTAATTTTGCTACTTTTACCAATAAAGATACCAAAAAACATCAAATTAAAAAGTTGTAGCTAATTTTAAGCGCTACAAGGTGGTGTGTGATGAAACCCATAAAATTGCCATTTGAAATTTTTTGATATAACAGCTTTTGAAACCTCAAAAAGTTTGAAAATGCGTAGCATAAGTAAAAAGTTTAGAAAAGGGTTGAAACCAGAGTTTGTTTTAAAGCTCATTTAGCAATTAAAGTGTTATAAAAATTTAAGCCCCCACGAAATTTCACCTCTATGCAGTTAAAAGTTGTTCAAAGGTCTATTTTTGGTACGTTTTTGAACACCCTGTAAATAAGGATAAAAATAATTTAAAACTGTGTCCAATAAAATACTCAGGCCTCAAAGAACTTTAAATGAGGTATACATACCTCAAACATACTCAACCCCCCTATACATTTGAAAATTTCACAAAAACCACCTCAACCCCCCAAAATCTGCCCTTTTGGGTACAATTTTGGGTTTAAAAATAATTTTGCTGGATTCCTTGGAGTCGAAATAGGGGGTTCCAGTTGCAATTAGGTTTCTATTGATTTAATATTGGAGCTATAGAAGCCGGCTGAGTGGTCTGGAACACCCTGTATATTGGCGAGTGATATATATTTTATGACCTATGACTAGTTATACTCTTGACTGTTGTTGCTAATACTTGTATAATGTCAATGGCAAATAAAGATTTCTATTCTATTCTATTCTGGGACACCCTGTATAGGTTTTTTTTTCTCTCAAAAGCACAGTTGGAACGCCATTCCTCATGTTACCGCCCACTATACCACTGATCTTTCTGATTCTAACATGCGCTCCTCATTACTAAAAATATTTTTCTCTTCTGATTTAGATAGTTAGATTAGTTTTCGTTTTTTTTTTAACTTAGCAAAATGAAAAGTGAAGCCTAAAATCACTATAGAGATGAATCAAGCACTACACTCATGCATAATCCATTATGTAAATCTGACCTGATCAAGGTAGGAGAGACCTTGGTAATGCTGCATCTTTCTTCACGTTTATTAGTCAATTTGATTAGCAAAAGTAATCATTTCATCAATTGAAAGCAATTCTGAAAATATTTTCAGCATGGGTTGACATCGGTTTATGAAAAGAAGACACTGACATTATTAATTGTACTCTTGAACAAACTGGTTAAAGTTATGTTTAAGTAGGCCTACTTTATTATTTACGATCACGAACATTACGTCTTTGGTTTTGGTTTTCAATTCTATAGGCCTACCTATATGTTTCAGTTACAATCTTTTAATACATTTTTGTTCATAAATTTTAATTTTAATTAATAATTCACAAATTAATGAGCTGGTGTCACCAGTCTGCCATGTTATCTTATGGACCGCCTAGGCTAAACAACACTACTTGCGACGTTGCCAATTCTACTAGGCCGCAGCCTGGAGTTAAAGTTGGCTCTGAATGAGCTCAATAAATGTGAAGGGCATTAGGTCCTCTCCATGTATTGTCAGGATAGTCTTAAGATATTTTTACTGTGCTTTGAATATTTATTTTATTTTTTGTATGATTATTTGAATGTTTTTAATTTGATGTATTTAATTTTTTTTAGGTTACAGTAGACCCCTTAACCCACCTCGCATTAACCAATAATCGGATTACTGTTTGTTTTGACCGACGTTGTTTTCAGAGCAATTGGGTTTAACCGCTGCTTTCTATAGAAATCCCACGCTCGGCGATGGAAACAATTCGCTAAACTCTACAGGATGTCACTTCCACTGAAAGTATTTGACCTTACCGTGTTTTGGGATTATTTGTGACTTCTCTATCGTCAATACTTAAGAAAAAATTATATATATGCCTAAGAGTTGTAGGTAGTTTATTTTGTAAATAATGCACGCACGACTTCAGAATTTATTATTATTATATATTATATAATTGAACGTACTGATCTGCAAACTATGGGAACATAGAAAAGTCATAGAAGGCCATTAAGTAAAAGATATAGATATAATTAATGTTTGTTTAGGAATTTAGATACTATTGTATTAGCATATAATGAAAAACAGGGACCATTTATTCACACAAACAGTGAACGAGAATGTTAGCCGAAGTGCTACAATTTTTAGTAGGAAACATAGACTTACTTTATGATCATTGCAGAGGAAACCTTCTCCAATGCTAAACAAAAATGGTAAGTCAAGGGACGTTTAATCTGTGATTCCATACATAAAAGTCAAGTGATTTTAGAAGATAGGACTAGACCTAAAAACCTTTATTAAAACTTTCATTGACAAGGATTAAATTATTCACAGTTAGGCCCACTTACTTAAATGAACATGAAATAAACAAAATAATCTTGTTTATGGCTACCTTAAAACCCGAATTTCTGAGTGAAAACAGCGTTTGCCCCAAAATTAACTAAGGGAAAAAGTGCTTAGAATTGCCTAGTTTTTCCGAATAAACGATCATTTTCTAAAAACGGCATGGGTAGTTTAAGTTTAAAATTAGGCCTAACGTTAAGTTGAAATTTTGATACAGTGTTGATTGAAAGTGTCTCTGAAAGAATGTCATTGATGGAAATTCAAGGAACGAGCTGTAACTTATAAAGTAAATAAGAATTAGTAAGATAGGTCAAATTGTGTATAGTCAATGGGTTAAATTGATAATGACAAAGGTCTAGGTTTCTAAGTAAGAATTGATAAAGTTATTTAAGAAATAAAAATAAGCTCTCGAGCCTAAAGATTCAGAAAACCTCATAGGCTAACCTTAAGACATGTTATTTCTGACCGCAATTTACAGTGAGAATGAGGCTAGGTATAATTAATTTTGTACTAAGTTAGCCTAGGTATAGTTTGATTTATTATAAATTAACAATGATCGTTACTTATTATTCACAGGCTTGTGTCCTGTAACCAGCTTAATGGACACATAAGCTAATTTGGGGTACCGGTAGGCCTCTATATGCTTTTGTTATCACAAGATGACTCGAGTGAGCTAGAAGATACATTCAATCTTCATTATTAGGGACTCTTAGAATAGCCTCACAACAACAGCTACCTCTTTAGGCCTACTTGCCCTAAAATGGTCTGACAACTAAAGCCGTGTTTACACTTTTTAAACAACTTGTTAATAAACTCCTGTTGTACAAGCAATTATAGTAATTGGTTTAGCATGTTTAAAAATTCAGTGAAAAATATTTAAGAAGTTGTACAACAAAAAATCATATTTTACAACAAGCTGTAGCGTTCCTGACCCGTGTCGGAAAGAGCAAAACAAAAGGAAATTGGTGCTTTAGAAATTTTTGTTGTAGGTCTACCCTACAACATGTTTGATGTCCACAAGAAACGTCTAACTTGTTTAGGTACTAATTATCGTTCCCGCTATATCGGCTATAACTTAGTTTATTACTGCAAACTTTTGTAGGATTCTCCGCAGTGTTGGGGAAGCTACTTTTAAAATGTAGCTAGCTACAACTACTGCTACATTTCCAAAAAATTATGTACAGATCCAAAAAAGTAGCTACAACTACAATGAAATGTAGCTACAGCTACAATTTTAACTACTTTTCCAAAGATGTTACTTTTTATTCCACGCACATTAGGTAGGTGTAAAATTAATTGCAACTACATTTTTATCAAACAAACATTTAAACAAAAAATGTCAGTATTGTATCTAACATTACTTCGAAAACAAATTATTCCTAGATTGTATTTAATTTGTTGGCATTATAAACCTAACATTACAACAACAGAACCAATTAGTTGGGTGTCCCATCATATTTAGTACTTATTTTTAAATATTGCATTATTTTTAAGCATCTTATATGTAAATTTCATTAAGTTCAAAGGACATACAACCAAACTATATTTTAAAAGCTTGCTTGTTTTCTTTATTATAGATTCATTTATATATGTTTTATATCAACAATTAAGACCCATAAAACTGTAAAACGATTATTTAAAAATACTTTTTTGTGTTTCAGAGCCTAGCCTACTGAAATTGGAGTTTATTCTTCATTATTAGGGACTCTTAGAATAGCCTCACAACAACAGCTACCGGTACCTCTTTAGACCTGCTATAGGCCTACTTGCCCTAAAATGGTCTGACAATAGCTACAGCCTTTCTTTATTTTTAATGTTAAAAAATACATTGCTATAACTTTTAACCATAGTGATAAGTTACTTGTTCTATGAATAACACTTTCCAATGTCAAGAAATCGTCCTTTATTGTCATTATGCATATGGCAAATTGTGCTTCAACCTAGTTGGTGCAGAAAACAGTATTTAGCAACTTATCCTGAAATCGGCTTTTAATTTACACTAAACATGTTGAATATTGTAAAGTAAAAATAGCATGTAGGCCTACTTGGCTATGTAACAAATTGGCTAATGTTGTTAAGTGCACAGGTGTGCTGCGATTGTGGTTCAATACATTTGGACTTATTCAAAAGTAAAATAGTTTTCTGTGCTGCACTCTGTAGAAACACTGTGGCACTATTTCAAATCATGACTAATGCTAATACAGAATGTTTTAATTATTCAAACCTACAAAACAGTTGGTGAAAGTAAACATCTGCTTTTAAATTATATTTATTTGTAAACATTGTAGATCAAAAAGTCTGACATTGGCCCACTTAAAACCCTCTGGGGCAGAGCCCTTTTGACAGATCTGCACCAAACTTCACTCGAACCATCCTTGAAAGATGTTTAATAATGCCTGAAAGTTTCATTACAATCTGTCGAGCGGTTTCGGAGTCCATAACGTATACACTGTGACACGAGAATTTTATATATTAGATATACACACATACATAGTTCCTTTTTTATAGATATAGGCTAGATAATTGAACTTGGTATTCGTCTTAAACCATAGGAAATAGCCTAGGAATAGTCCTATACAAGAGCTGTTAGCAGGAGCAAGCTATGTTATTTTTTTAATGTAAGTTTCATGTTATATGGCGATTTTTTCGTTACTAGCCTATTATCATGTAGTCTAGGCATATCTTAAATCTCATCAAGTAATTTCCTCTTTGTTAATTTAACAAACATTTGAAAAATCTTCGTAATCTAACCAAGGAAGGGCTTGTGATGATGAACCACAATCAACAGCTGAAGCAAGGGTTGATAGACCAGCTTTCTCATTATTTTAAGGTTTAGTGTTGGTGTCCATTAAAACCCAAGTTGAAACACTATCGATATAATAAAGAAACTAAATTGATTACTAATTTCCCTGCCAATCACTTGCAAGCATTCAATAACTTCTCTTATCACTGGTAACGTTTAAACGTCGTCTGCATCTAGCAATTTTATTTTATCTGACAGTAATCATAGAGTAGTAAAAGAAATGAGAGCCAAAAATGTGGATAACACTCATTTAATGGCTTCTGTCCACACAACGTTGTAATAGGGAATGAAACGGCTGCAACCAGCTGTATGAAGCCAAGAAAGTAGGCCTAATTTTTTTGAAAATCTCAGTTTGAAAGAGGTTGTTTCACGTAAGGTTGAGGTTATGATAAAAATCACTATCTCAAACAATGTTAATGAACGAGAAAAGTAGCTAAAATTCCACTACAACTACTTTAAAAATGAAGCTAGCTACAGCTAACGCTACAAAAAAAGTAGCGCGCTAATGTAGTGTCGCTACTGCCCAACACTGATCCTCCGGTAGCCAGAAAACATACAGCGCGTCTTTCTTTGACTAGAATTGCGTCCCTGAACGAGGTGTTTTTCTACTGTCCCCAGCCAACAAATCTTCATCATCTCTTTCAATATAGTTTAGCGTTGCACTTCCACTGTAACTTACTTAATCCTTGCCTACAGTATAGAACCTACCCAAAAGCGACACTTTGCTCTTTTCCTTCAACCACAGGCAATCACAACACATGCAGCATCCGCCATAAAATAGATCCTCGTCACTTGAAGCAATCAGGGTGACTGAAGGTTTTGGAGCGAGCTCTTTTTGAACATGTTTGATAATTCTTTTAGGCACATTAACTTACAGCTTGTTGCACAACAAAAGTTGTATAAACACCAGGTGAAGTAATAAAACAAATGTTTAAGTTAAGTAAGTAAACATGTTGTAGCCTACAGTACAAAAAAAATGTATAACTAAAACAAGTTGCTTAGTGTAAATGCGGCTTTAACCTCCCCATATCACATGTCCTTGGGCTAGAGATCTAGGCCTACCTATAGTATTTGTTTATTTTTTTTGTGCAACTAGCCTACAACCAAAGATTGAAAGGCGATAAATTAAGGTCTGTTTAGGGGAGAAGCCTTTTAAGTTACCTTTAAGCCTAATTTCACTCTTGCTCTTGGTCGCTGTGCTAATATGGAAATGGAGCCTGATAAACATAATTTAGAAACAGTTGAAGGAGAGCTTGACAACTAAACTTATCCATTAGCATTTATATGCTGGAGAAATTATGAAAATTATGGTTATGTAAATAGGGTAGGCCAATCTACAGTTAGTTAACCTTAAACTGAATTAAGAACAGGCATAATTCTTCCTAATTGGATTTGGCGTCCTCAGATTACTCCCAAGATTCAATTATGTTTACAAATAGGCATTAAAATTGGAGAAATATAGCCACAATGTTTATCAAATCACTAATTATTTCTTTTAAACAGTAAATTAAAAGCTACAAGAAATTAAATAATTTGACACCGCAAGGATCAACAGACAGACCAAAAACCCAAGTCTGTCGTCATTTATGTAAGAGAAGGAAAACTTAATCATAATGAGTTAACTTAAATGTTCTATAACTCAAATAAGAATCATACCTTTTCTTTTTTAATTTTGTTTGGCATTTCAACAACGTTAATCGTAATGACATTTACACTTAGGCACGAGTAGTAAAATCGGACTTCTTGTCATTCATCTTCGCCTTGACTTGCTTCGCTTGCTTGAAGCTTGAAGCAGAAAGTTGTTCGTTGATCGTTGTTCCGTTCAGTTGTTCCCACTGTTGTTCCGATCACCCGATTTAGTCTGAGTGAGTGTCTGACTCTGACTGACTAGTCAGTTTGCACAATTTGTTTTTCAGGATAAATTTTGCCAACAGTGTCATTTAGAGGCTTCTGATTGACTACAACGAAGGTTTAGTAATTGGAAAATTATTTTTGTTCATAGAATAAAATTATAAATGCCTCAGATTCAATTTTATATTTTTTTATTATGAAATTAAACCGTCATAACCTAACCAAACCAACCAAACGTGCTGACAATGAAAAAATCTAATGAAGGTTTATTAATCGAAAAAATAGTTCTGTTCATAAAATAAAACTATAAATGGGTCAAATGCAATTTCATAATGTTTTAATTATAAAATTAAACCGTCATAACCTAACCAGACCAACCAAACTTGTTATCATGAAAAAAATCCAATACAAAAAAAATAGTGCTAAAAAAATTCGAACCCGGGTCCTTCGTATCATCAGCCCAGCACTGCATCCACTTCACCACCGAGGCCGATGGCATCAACCGCGTATCGTCGCGGTAATGATGTTACCTCAGCCAATCAGAAGCCTCAAAATAATACTGAAGGCAACACTAATCCTGAAATAAAAATTCAGCAGTCAGCACAGTCTGACTGTTACGTTTGATTACATACAGCTGAAGTAGAAGTTCGTTGGTTCACTGTCACACGTCCCTTGCCTTGAAGATTATCTTTTTACGGCGCGGTGGTTAGGACCTAGGACCCTGGATGTTTTTTGTATGGGCATTTGCTATGACCATTAGTACCATAGATAAAACGTTTGTCGGCAGGATGTAAGGTCGATGCAAGCAAAAAGATGTGTAGATATAAAGTCAATGATGAAAGTGATCAGTCTTTACTGTAGGCCGTCGGAACTCATTGATGGGCATTTGGCATAGATGGCTAGCTCGGCTAGCTGATATAATAAAGAAGAAAGAGGATAAAGAAGTTCTTTTTGAAAGGGATTCAAATTCAAGATCGTTACTGTGGCTCAGTGACCAACGCATAAGAGAGGGTCAAAGGTGGAAAATGTCGAAAATGTGTTTGCTGGGGATATGCACTTGATAAACAAATTTAGTAGGTGGACAACCTTTGGAAACACACAGGGAGGAAAACCAAACATTAATTTGCGACGGGGTGATCTTTTGGGCAGAATGAAGGGCTGGATGGTTCATGAAGAGACGCTTAGTGGACATAGGCTTATTCAATAAAATTGCGAGGATACCAATGACCAAATCAATGATGGACGATGATGGAGCAATTCCCGAAAAGTAGGGAAGAAAGAAGGTGAACAGAAGGGCTGGATGAATTGCGAGTGAAGATGAGAAGGAGAAGTAGGGTCTGGATAAAAACATTGAGTGAAAATGATTGTAAATCGTTTGTCAGAACAAGATCAGAATTTCGTTTGGGTGACCAGAAGCAAAAGAAGATGATGTGGGAAAAGCTAATCACGGAAGAAGAGGAAGATCAGTGGATAAATGTGTATAAGACCGATGCAGATAAGTTGAAAAATGATACTGTGCAAGAGATCCCAGAAAGAATGAAGCAAGGATTGCCATCGGACGACAGGTAAGAGGATACAGAGCAAACAGAAATCAGACGAAGGATCGTTTAAAAAGCACTGGAACAGATGAGGACGATTTCACGGACAGGAAAGCCCTATAGCATTCGATGGAATTAAGAATGGAGTAGGCCTAGTAAAGATAATGTTTTGAGGACTAAGGGGGCGCTGTTGAATACTGTATGTACAACAAGATGCTGAGATAAGAGGTAGGTTTCCTGACGTGAGGAAAAAAAGCATCGTCAAAAGTTTTTCTAAAGAGCGAAGATAGGGGCCCGAGTAAAGTGAATCCTACATGCCAATAACCTTCTTACATATCCTAGAAAAGCTAAGCGAAAGGATAATAATTGTGAGAAGGATGAAAGAATGAATGAATAGGAAAATAGGGCAAATTCTCTTCAATATGGATTCAAGGAAAGAGTTTGAACGGTTGACGTACTACTGAAAATGAGACGAGGGGTCAAAGAGACGGAAGAAGAAAAAGTGTGTCGTATAGAATTGTTCCTGGATATTTCTGGAACTTTCAACTCCACCTGGTTGCCTGATTCTGAGAATTTTTAAAAGATGGCAATGTCTTAACAACATCTACCGTTTGGCAAGGGACTGATCCAAGATAGAACCGACGTTACAAGCCGGCAACGGAGAAATGAGCAAGAACATCACGAAAGTGTGCTCCCAAGGGTCTGTGATGGGCCCTCTGTTGTGGAATACCCTGTTAGATGGGGTTTTACGGCTGCATTTCGAGGAAGGTATCTCCACGAGAGCGTATGTGGATAACAAACTTGTTTCTAGTGAAGTCTAAAACATTCCCTGATCTCATGAGGAAGGCACCAAGAGACTTAGAACTCGGCACTAGATGGAGGAAGACATGGATGGAGATTACTTTCTCAAAGGAGAAGGCAGTTATGGTGCTCCTGAAAGAAAGGTTAGTCAAAAGATTCATCCGTGTGAACATGGAAGAAGTGGCAATTCGGTGCTCCAATGAGACGAAGTATATAGGAGTCGTAATAAGAAGTGGATTACAATTTTCAGGGTATTATGACCAAGCGATGGACAGATCCATGAAGGCTTTTGGGATTCTTAGCGACTGTTTGGATTATTTCCAAGTTGTATAATGGAATTAGATGCGAAAACCTAAGAAGACTGTACATTGGCGCGTTACCCGTTGTACGGCTGTAAGATGTGGGGTCATCGAATGAGTTGACGAGGTGAGAAGAAAAGTTAATGAGTCTTCACAGAAGAATGCTACGGGGTTGATTAAGAGGTGAACGATATCTCACTAATCCGATTAATTGCCGGGGCTATCCTGCTGGACTTAATGATTGAGGCATGGGTGATAAGAAGAAACAACAAAGATGAGGGCAGGAGTCGACATCAACGAATGTATGAGGATCTGAAGAGAAGAAACGCTCGTTTTTTTTTACTGGCAGAGGTGGTGGGAGAAAAGCACACACGGGTTTTGGAAACAGCAGCACACGACCTTTTGTGTTCGTTCCCGATGTGAAGGCCAGACAAATCTTGCATTTGGGAAACCGATCACTACACGACGCAGTTCGTCATCGGACATGGCAACTTTAAGACCAAGCCGAAAACCTTCAACCTCGTGGATGATGATCGTTGCACTCATTGTGGAGAGCTAGAGACGTCACAACAGAGGTGCTGATGGAGTGCTACTTCTATGAAGAAAAAGAAGTGACATGAGTGAATTCCTCCGTCAGAAGACTTGGACTTGGGAGAAAGTGAACCTCGTCATGGAGCAAATAATCTCCTTTGGAGTTTAGTGAGATGTGCCGAAGGATAAGAAAGAAAAGAAGGATAAGAATGCATGAAGACAGGCTGGAGACGGGTCATTAACGATATCATAGATAAAACATGCCGTTTTATCTATGACGATATCTAGCATTGAATTTTGTATACTGCTATTAAATATCCCATTTACGTGAACCAGATGTATGTAGTTGGGGTTTTTTTTTAGCTAAAAGTGGTTAAGGTGTGGTGGAATATCTTTAAATATGAACCTATTTGAACAGGAAAAGGAACTGAATGACTGCTAAGGGCTAAATTTTTATTTCAGGATTAATTTTGCCAATCATTTGGAGGCTTTTTCAGGTATTTACTCAGGGGAGGAGGTATAGATGAGCTTATGACGACAGCTGTGGGCTTCTCATTAGCTGAGGGAACACCATTACCGTAACATTACGGTTTGCAGCCATCGGCCTCGGTGGTCTAGTGGTTAGCGTGCCGGGCTGATATGCTGAAAATCCCGGGTTCGAATCCCGCTGGTGGAACTAACTTTTAGACTAAGATTTTTTCATTATCAGCAAGTTTGGTTAGTTTGGTTCTGTTATGACAGTTTAATTTTATTATTTAGTCACTATACAATTTTAATTGAGCAATTTCTAGTTTTATTTAATGAACAGAATTATTTTTTCTATTAACAAACTTTTGTTTTATTATTTCATTATCAGCAAGTTTGGTTAGTTCGTTTAGGTTATCATAGTAATTTTATAATAAAAAAAATATAAAATTGAATTTGAGGCATTTATAATTTTATATTATGAACAGAACTATTTTTGCGATTAGTAAACCTTCATTGCCAAAATGCTCTCTACTACAGTGCAGTTCACGGAGGAATTTTGAACTAATGCCTCAATCGTACCTCCCCTAAGTCAGACCCCTTTTTTCATCATTATCAGCAAGTTTGATTGGTTTGGTTAGGTTATGTCATTTTATTTTTTCGATTAAACCTTCATTCGAATTTTCATTATCAACAAGTCAGGTTAGGTTATGATAGTTTAATTTCATCATTTAAAAATATAAAATTGAATTTGAGGCATTTATAGTTTTATTTAATGAACAAAACTAATTTTTCGATTAGTAAACCTTCATTATAGTCAATCAGAAGCCTCCAAATGACACTGTTGGCAAAATTAATCCTGAAATAAAATTCGTGGCCCCTAAGGGCCGTAGTCGTAGGTATGTGTATGAGTGTGGTTTTTTTAGATTTGTTCTTTTTTCCTGTTTTGTATTGAAATAGTTATTTGTGCAACTAGTGAGCAAAGTGAGCAATCGACTCACTCGAGAGAAATCCTTACTTACGAGCCGTAGGCGAGTGAGGAATGGTTTCTCGAGTGAGGAAATTGTACTTTGCACTCGAGTTGCACATTATATTTTTCCTACGGTTACCATAAAACAAATAAATTAGTGAATAAGCGTAACATATTTTTACACAGAAGTAACTTTTAATATAACATTTAATGTGAAGTGACAAATACAACAGTACAACAGCTGACCAGCTGATTTACAGCCAGTGCTGCCAACGTATTTCGCGCGCATACAACCTTGTCTGCATGTTACGCGCTCACTATTTCGTGCGTTCACGTTGCAAATCTGGAGTGAGACAAAGTAATTAGAGTGAGACAATGTTAACATTGTCTCACTGATGAGCGAATTGGCCACTTTGCTTTCTCAAATCAGTGAGAGAACATGTACATTGTTAGGTAACTGTAGGAAAAGGAAATTATGAAATAATGTCGATGTTAATTTTAGTGAATTGGCCAATAGGGTGGCCAATAGAAAATTATTACTGAATGGCTCAATGAATCTTGGATCTTGTGGCATAGCTTATAATTTTTCGTAAACGTGTGGCTTTGCTTATAGCCACGACCACCGTTAAAGGTGGCCGTGTTATAACGGTTATAACCTTGTTATAACTGATTTTTTGCTATGCAATTATAAGATATGAGACCCCGCGGTTAATTATTTTAGTCGGAAGAAGTAAGAAAAACATGCCCACGCTTCATTTTCGTTTTAGTTCCAGATTCTTGTTCTTCTTTCTTGTGACATCCTTTACCTCTTGGAACCTGTCGTCGAGCGTGCATTATCGACATCTTATTGTTAAATAATGGTAAATATTGTTTCACTCTTACCTATAATCTAAGAATATATTGTTTTGAAGTGTTTAATACATTCTTTGGGGTGTTTACATTATCTTGAAAGCGATAGCGAATTTAAAATGATAGGTTAGGGCATGTCTAGGTATAGGCCTAGTAATGGTGTGTTGAGGTACATAGCCTAACAATTAAGTAGCCTATGCCCTAAATGTTCGTCATAAATTAAGTTTTCAGTATTATTGTAACTTTAATTTAGTTACAAATCTTGTTATGTTGGTGGAGCTCTAGTTTGAAAACATTGTTGGGTTTTAAGTCAAACCAAGTGCTACCCCTTGCACCAGGGCAAACTAAGTGAGGGGCCTAGGCCTATCCCCCTGCCATACGGCCTTGTGGACTTGCCAGCCATAGGCCTATACCTGCTATGTTTATCCAGCTCCGCTACCCAACACTGGTTGCCCAATTCCCAAGTCCAGCTCTATCGTCCAATTGTTTATAAAAGGTGTTGTAATCTAGACCTTTGTTTTGTATCACATTCAAACAGCTGTTGGTACGTTCCTGTTTAAGGGAGCATTCATTATTAATTATTTAACCCTTTTGCCACCAGCTATTTTACTTACATAACTTATAGGCCTATGCAAAATTAAAAATACCAAGGCCATTTTTATCCAATTGCAGTGTTGCAGAAAAATAGCTCCTACCTTTTTATCTGTGAAGAGATTTTTTTATTTTATGTTTTGTTTTGTTGTAAATTAAATAGCCTACACAATAATATAAAATATAATAATAAAAACATTTGTGAAAAAAACTATACAAATCAAAAATATTACGCGAATATGTATTAAAAAAATATAAAATTTGCACTTTGACTTGCAATAACTACATTCCAAAAAAATATTTCATAGCATTCAGTATTATTTCCTGAAAGTAGGCTACATGCAGTTGTTAGTATCTTGTCTAAATTTCAAAGTCTTAGGCTACCTTGAAAAATAAGCTGGCAATGCAGATTTATATTTTTGTCCGCAAAATCGTCAATTTACATATTGATGCACTCTACACTAAACAAATTCAATAAACACTGTTCATTTCAACAAAAAAGTTATATTCTTGAACAAAATACTTGAATAAAAACTTCAAACACCTTTCTTATGAAAAAAACCACTAGGCCCTAACACTAATATTTACAAACAAATTGTTTTTCCTAACACTTGTGAAGCACACCGCGTGTACTCCTTTCTGGCAATGTACACACACAGTTCTTGATCTTTTCCTTTTCCCTCCTGCTGACAAACTAAGTAATTGGACTGCACACACAACAGGTCCTCTCTTTTCTGTCAGGAAGAGTTTCCATACCAAATCTTTCAACTTGATGGTCTCCTCCAGCGAGATGATCAGGTAGGCTACATTTCTTCGCTCGAGCCATTCTTTTGACAATTCCTCTATAATTTGTCCTAATGTGATCTGAAGTCTGTTGATATATTTGCCTGTAGGCTATTGTTCTCCTTATATAAAAGGTATGAATTCAAAATCATTCTTCCAAATATATTGAATACTACTTTTTTCCAATACTTTGCTGTACGCCTTTCGTCTAAATAAACGTACCTACAGCATCTGATCCGAGTGATCAATGCAACCCATGTAAGAATTATATTTAAGGTCAATCATTTCTGGTTTTTCTTTGACAATTTCTGTGTTATTTCTCACTTTTCTTTTTTGGATTGACTTAGCTACACATTTTGTGCATAAAAGCAAAACTGGGTTCTTCTATGTTCGAAGCCTTTTCTCGATATGCCAACATCAACTTATGATCTTTGCGCTGATACATTCTTTGACCAACCTCAAACTTTTCTTTCATGGCATCTGGAATTCCTTGTCTGTTTCTCCTTATTGTACCAGTTATGAAGGTTAATTTAGTATACAAGTAATCAGCCAGTGGGGTAGACATAAAAAAATTATCAACAAACAGGGAAAATCCCTTGTTTAGGTACGGTTTAGCTTTAAAAGTTGTATCACTACTTTGTAGGCTAGGCCATGTTCAGGTTTCCAATCTTCTGTTTTACCTTTATAACAACTAAAACCCAGACAATATTTACTGACAATGTCACACAGCATCCACAACTTTATGCCCCACCTGTGGTGGTGCTTATTGGGTAGATACTGCGTCAGCTTGGATTGACTTTTCGTCCCGATGAGACTTTCATCCACCGACAGTTCCCTGTGAGGTGTGTAATTATCTTATGTTCTGAAGACCCGGTTAGCATGACGTACCAAAGGCTCAAACTTTGCACAGGGGTCATAATTGGGCTCTCCTGGTTTTGGTAGGTTTGCATTGTCAATCAAGAAAAAATTGCAACAAGCACTCAAAGCGATTTCTAGAAAACATCTTTCTATACCATGGGGTAGCTAATAGATCATTGGTTGACCAGTAAAAGGGACTTAACTAACTTCAACTGGTAACTTTCAATGGTGGGTTTTTTCACAAGACCCATGTTGAATATTAAAGCTAAAAACCCTTTCATTTCGATCAATGTTACTGGTTTCCAGCTCCTAGCCCTAGCATTGGGAGAGAGGTTGTCGTGCGACGAGCATACAAATTGGGTCAAAAGATTTACAGTGAAATACAAGTTAAAGTAGTCAATAGGTTTACTATTACCATCAGGGCAATGTTTGGGGCCGGGTATCTCATCAAAAATAAAAGTTTCATCAGCCCGAGAATCATTTCCTTCTTCAACAGGATCCCAAATAATAGGTTCTTTGTTAGGCCTAGGCCTTGCTACAGTGACATTCCCCTTCAGGGCCCCTTCTGTAATCTCGGGAGGCATATTATTTTCTAAAACAGGCCTATCATCAGGAACCTGAGGAGTACTTTTCTTAGGCCTACCTCTGGGTCGTTTGGGAGGCAAGACAGTAGTAGGCCTACGTCGAGTTGAAGTGCTAGTTTCATCAATGTCATATTCCTCATCAGATGTTGTATGTCGATCACTTGGAAAATAGTCAGGATCTGCATCACTGTCGTCGCCAAATAACTCTGGAAGAGATTCAGGAATTAAATAATCAGATTCATCATCGTCGTCAGATGAAGCCGGGAGTTCAGGAGATGACAAATCAATTTCATTAACAAAACTATCACTCAGTTCACCATCGTCCACATCAATTCCACTTGCCACCAAATTATTGAAAATTGTATTTTCACTTACTGCGATCCGATAAATTGAATCGTGGCGGCTAAAGGGTTAAGTCAATGTTCCCTTTCACAGGAAAGTACCCAGCTGTTTGCTCTCCATCCATGTAAATACCTCCCTCCTTCACTTAATAAATTAGGCCCTTAGTTGCCGCTAGAACTATTTGGCCTTGCCCAAACCAACATTCAAACCGCTCCAGGATCTCAAATTTGTAATGATTGATTTTAATTGATGAAACTTGTAATTATACAACTTTTCTCTTGATTTCTAGTAACCTAGCCTATCGTATTTTGGATATTAATTCCCTTTGTAAGTTGGTTATTAAGGCCTAACTTACCCTGTTTTTCTGGTTTAACTTAAACCTTGATGATTTTATAAATTTTGTCAACCAACTTAATTGTAGGCCTAAGCCTTAAATTTCATATCAATATGCAAGATTACCTACTTCAATCCCAATTTAGTTAACACGTTCGCTACTGATCGCCCCATATTTTTGGTGCCGCGGTCATTGCCACAGCCCGAGGTATACATTTAATATAACACATACCGGGTGTCCCTTGGCTAACAGTAGGCTACACACAGACTGCAGGCCAGTGATGCAGCAAAGTAAAAATCAGTTTTGCTGCCAACTATCATTTCATCATATCCACAGATCAAGAAATGTACAATGCGATAGACATCCCTGTACCGCTGCAGAGAATTCAGGGCATTCAAATAGATTGTTACGAAGATATAACCTTTTTAATAACATTGGTCACCGACGCAAATATGCGACGTCAGTCTAGTATTTTAATGTGACCAGCTTTCGCACATATGTGACGGCACTCTATGGATAGAAACCACAGCCTTTTTATATGTAAGTCGCTGGTCATCAATGATTACTATTTAAAATTTATTACTATATTGCGGTAACTTACGTGTCAATAATAATTTAATTCATAAACTTAGATTAATTATAACTTAGGCCTATTATAAGTTAGGTATATAAGTTGCATATATTTTTGTCATCCTTGTGATCAGCTGAAGATAGTTTAAATTTTAGTTCTCTCCGATTCATGTATTTATCCACCTATTTATTCCAATGGCTAACAACTCTTAAATAAGTTTTTGATAGCAACAATCAGATACATGAATCAAATGATTATCCTAGAATAAAAATAATATAAGACTTATTGTTGATCTCAATCCCGAGGATAGAAACCAATCTTTGGAATTTCGGATTCTCATTTTTTTTTTTTTGCCATTTCAAATAGCCTAGATGGCCTAGCAGATGTTAACACTAGGCCTACACATTTTTTGTGTTTTTTTTTTAAAGAAGTTCGGCCTAATAAATAATTTGTGGAACTAAGTTTAGTGAGCAAAGTGGCAGCATCCTTTTTGAAATAATTTATCTGTGCAAATCATCCTCTACAAATGAACTTACCTACAACATTTAGTTCAGGACTTTTTGTGGCTGAGCTGCATTATTATAGGAGACTGATAAACAATGTCATTTGTAACCTCAAAAGTCAGCTCACTTAACCCTTTGAGTGCCAACGTCCGGGGAACCGGACGTTTTTAAAACGAGCCAAAAGTGCCAACGTCCGGCTGACCGGACGTTTCGTAATGATCGAACAGTTGTCATTACAACCGAATGGATACTCGGATTCTTTTAACCCATATATTAACATTGAGTCGAAAGTTACTAGATGCGATACATCAATTTTCGTTGGTCGAAATATCAAAAATTTGATTTTTACGAAATTTTAACCTAAAAATCGCCAGATCGCGCTCGGCATTTTTAGCGCGACCTTCGGGAATAATCATCGGCATTTTTTGAGCGTTACTTTTATTTCTCGCCTGGCACTCTAAGGGTTAACGAAAAATATTTGTTTTAAACTCTAAAGAATTTAACATAATTAGGCCTATTGCAAAAAAGTGAGCAAAGTAAAATTTTGAGAAATTAACTTACCGTAGCTAGTTTGTGTTAAAACTAATTCTAAAGAGCAAAGTGCCACTTTGTAAGACTGTTGACTTTTTACCACACAAAACTTTCATTGCTGCTTGCTTGGTGTACCGTTTTGTATTTGTCTTGGCGGTTTCCTATGATGTGCTGTGGCTGTGATGGCCGTGCTTACAAAACCAAAGCATCTTGACCCTAATCAACTTAAAGCCTAACAATAATATTCTACATGACAGTGAAAACCCATAAATTAATTTTTAAAGTTTCCAGTACTGCTCCAGCTGCTTTGAATCAAGCAATGTGTGGGACAATGTTGGCCTGGACCCTAATTTTTATATAAGACTAGCTGACCCGGCGAACTTCGTATCGCCTAAGTTATAGGTTTCCCCTAAGACAGACCGATGGGAAGAAAGTACCGTTACGTTTAATTTTCAAGATGATCTCGTTCGCATCGCTCAATCACGTCCTGGTTGAAGTTCGTTCGCTACGCTCACTCACCTTTAGGTTGGAGCTCGTTCGCTGCGCTCACTTGCCTTCAGGTTAGCTCGTTCGCTACGCTAACTCGCCTCCAGGTTGAAGTTCGTTCGCTACGCTCACTCACCTTTGGGTTGGAGTTCGTTCGCTACGCTCACTCACCTTTAGGTTGGAGCTCGTTCGCTGCGCTCACTTGCCTTCAGGTTAGCTCGTTCGCTACGCTAACTCGCCTCCAGGTTGAAGTTCGTTCGCTACGCTCACTCGCCTTTTGGTTGCAAATTAGCTGTTGTCATAAATGTAAAAGTAATAATAGTGCTGCACCCTGTTGGTAATCCTTGTAACTTTAATGCTATTGAACATCATAGAACAGAACCAACTTGTTCAATTGAAACAGCTGTTAAGATTCATTAATTCCATTTCTCATAAGGTTAACATGGGAAACTCCAGAGCCACTGGGGCGGAGCCCTTTTAAGAATTTCGAAACGGGAAATAGTTTACGTCCGATTCGCATACCTACAGAATTTACACACCAAATTTCATAACGATCGGTGAAGTCGTTCCGGAGGAGTTTGCAGACAAACACTGTGACACGAGAATTTTTTTTATATAAGATTGTAGGGTTATTGGAGGAAGTAATTTCCATTGACTCAAAATACAAATTTATTGTGTGTAAGCTTAGAGGTTTTGTATCTACTCTTTATGTGTTGCTTTGCCTAATTCAATGTAATTTTACAGCCTCCAAAAAAGGACTCCAAGGGGTCCTCTTCTAAACAGCCCCAAAAAACTCAGAAGAAGAAAGAGGGAGGATCTGGAGGAAAAGCCAAGAAGAAGGCAAGTTGACCTACTGTATTTGCATTGTTACTTGACATAGAACTTGTACCTGATGATATGAACTGCTCATTTAAGTATTAGTGGCAACCCCAGAAACTACCTAAACCTAACGTTATTTTCTTCTAGGAATAAATTGGGCTGTTTATCTGCCCCAATAGACAGCTAAATATTTGTCAGGTTAGCAGATCTAATTGCGCTCACAACTGAAGCACCACAAAGGGATGTGGAGGGTTTATAATCATTTAGCATTTAAATATCATTGCTTAAATACAAATAAGGCTTACGAGTTAATTAATTTTGATTTTGTCTTTACAGAAGTGGTCCAAGGGAAAAGTTAGAGATAAACTAAACAACCAGGTTTTGTTTGACAAACCCACGTATGACAAGCTGTTAAAAGAAGTACCTTCCTACAAATTGATCACTCCATCTGTAGTTAGTGAAAGGCTGAAAGTGAGAGGATCTCTTGCCCGTAGAGCACTGGATGAACTTCTACAGAAAGGTGTGTGCTATCAAATTAATTTTTTAATGTTAAAAATATTTAGATTAACAACACAAGTTTTAATTTCTATTCTAGATACAAGTAAAAGCTGACAAAGGCATAACAATGAAGAAATGTCTGATTGATAATTTTGTTGAAAATAAAACAAGACAGGATAACATGAGAAAAGATGTCTTGGCAATACTGTACAGTAGCCTAAATAAATTAGTTTCAAATGCTGCTAGTTCACACTCCAGATTGTCTAGTCTCTGAGTTGTCTTGAACAATTGGTGTCGGTAATTATTCAGAAATCTCAGCCATTACAATTTTGTTGTGATCAGTCAACAGTAGTAGCCTATTAAGAAAACCTCCCAAAAGATGCCAAACAAGTAACAATTTTTGTCTTGGTGTTTTTAGCGCACCTCTTTGATAACGGGGGTGATCCTCTGGATATTTTTTAATAACCACCTAAAAACCGCGTTACAAGTTATCTGTAAAAAAGGTCTTCTTCAAACTCCTCTCACAGCTACAGTAATGTATGCAGTTGTAATACGGAATTAAAATTAACAGGTTGTCCACCGTCCTGGAAAACGGGGGATTATATGTCTGATTTTTTGAACCGGGAATTATGCGTGAATTTTGTAATTTACCGGGAATTTTCAATTTCCTGCAATAGCGCATGAAAATGACGTTTTGCGTGACCGTGGGAGATGACGATGACGTTTCCGTGACCGCGATAGATGATGATAGTGTCCCAAACGGCCATGGGATTTTGCCGCAATTGGTGCATGACGACAATAACGTTTCTGTGACCGTGGGAGACGATGATGATGTACAAACTCCAAATGGCGGGAAGACAGTGGTGATATTTCCGTGCTTGAGGGAGATATTCAGGATTTTTCAGTTATCACGGAAAACGATGATGGTGTTTCTATGACAGTGGTAGATGATTTAATGGCTTGACCGAAAATTTCAAAATGACACTTATAGAAAGTTTTATTTTTATATTTTTTGTAATATCTTCATTTACCCTTTAACGTGGTATTTTATTGAATGCGTTTAGAAGGCTATAAAACCTAAATTTCAGGGTGTCCACATTCTGGAAAGTCAGGGATAGTCATGGAAAGTCATGGAAAAAAATTCTGGTCATTGAAAGTCATGGAAATAGGCAAGAAGTCATGGAAATCCCCAATGGTGGATGGATTTGAGGGTATTATTCAATGCTCTAATCGGCCGTAACCCCGACTATTGTAGCATTTTTCAGGATTTTTCACAAATGTTCGACAATTAAAATGTATTACAGTTGTATTAGTTTATGAGTTTTGAGTTTGTATTAGCTTATTGTTGTACCTATGGTACTAGATTGTTATATGTTAATACATATTTCAGTATTTTCTGATAAATATTTTGTCTAGGCAGTATGATTCGTTTGTGTATGTTATATTATAATTTTCGAGTAAAGCTTGCGAGTCATGGAAATCAATGGTAAATGGTCATGGATAGTCATGGAAAGTCATGGAAATTAATGACAAATTTTCTGTGGACACCCTGAATTTGCCATGTGAAATTTTTGTAATTTCTGCATTAATTATTTCTGTCACAAGCCACTTGAAAAACAACCCATGACTCCAAAACTACATACCTACTATTAAAAAGTAAATAAAGACGGGTGTTTAATCCTTACAGGAAAATTTGGTTAAAATTAAAATTATCAGTAGGCTCGGTATTACGAATCTATATTTCAGGTGTCTGTACGGAGATACGATAACAGGATGTAGGGTGGAGTGGGGTAAGTGTGACAGCGGGGTAAGTGTGATAGCCGGCCATCTTGTTTTTGGGAATCGCTGAAAAAAATTGGTTTTGTCATAGAAATAATGTTTGACATATAAGGTATCTAGTTACTGGTTTTTATAAGTCCGACATTTTAGGTCAAAATCGAAGTTTGTTCAGAAATTTTGTTTAGTTTATAGTCATTTAAAATTTTGACCAATTTATATCAAACTGAGATTTTTAAAGAGCCTTAAAGCTAAACTTTTAGAAAAAAAATATTTAAAACGTGTACAAATTTATGATTAAATTTAAAACCACATGTCACACTTACCCCGGAAATTTTCAATGGCTGGGGCAAGTGTGATCTGATGTAATCTGATGTAAATCTGTGTGATCTGATGCAAGTTTTTACAAATTTCCGCAGATTTGTACGTCTTTATTTCATTTGTAAATATCTCAAAAAGTAAGAATGGTAGGGACTTAAATCAAAATGTTCCTGAAAGAGCACTAACTGGGTATTTATCACAATTGCCCCTTTTACCATTAAAAGAGATACAGGATTTTATAGAGGCCGCTATCACACTTGCCCCAACCCCATGGGGCAAGTGTGACAGCTGGCAGGCATTTTTTGTAAGTAAACAAAAATTGTGAAAGCATAAGTTTATCACATTGGTTTTTTTTTACCGATAAAGATATTTCCAAAGTTTAAGTGTTAAAAATTTCAAGTTTCTAACTTTAGAAATAACCGAGAAAAAAAATTGTAAAGATGAACTTTATAATTTTTAGGTCACCCTTACCCCACTTCACCCTATACCAACCGGGAGAACCGGGAAAAACCGTGAATTTGAAGGGACCTTGAAAAAGCTGGGATTTTTATTTTAGCACCGGTAAAACGCGCATCTGCTCCGTTCGCGGAAGACTATATTGATGTTTCTGGGACCGCGGGAGATGACGATGACTAACGCGGGAAATATTGATGATTTTGCTGCGATCGGGAACAACGACAATGATGTTTCCGTGACCGTGGGAGTCAACGATGATGCCTACACTGCCGCGGAAGATTTTTCGTGATTTTGCTGCAACCGCGGACTACGACGTCGATGATGTCTACACCGCTGCGGCTTATATTCATAACTTTGCCGCAGTTGCGGACGACCGACGATGATGTTTCTGTGACCGCGGAAGACAACGATGACATCTTAACTGTCGCAGGAAATATTCATGATTTTGCTGAAATCGCGGACGACGACAATGATGTTTCCGTGTCTGCGGGAGACGACTATGATGTCTACACTGCCGCGGAACATTTTTGTAATTACCCGCTGTCGCGGACGACGACGATGATTATATCTACACCGCCGCGGCGAGTTTTCATAACTTTGCTGCCATTGCGGACGATGATGATGATGTTTCCATGATCGAGGGAGGCGACGATGATGTCCACACTGCCACGGAAGATTTTAGTGGTTTTGCTGCGATTGTGGACGAAGACGATGACGTTTCCGTGACCGCGGGAGATGACAATGACGTCTACACTGCCGTGGAAGATTTTCGTGATTTTCCCTTGATTGCGGATGACGTCGAGGATGATGTCTACACTGCCGCGGGAAATATTGATGATTTTGCCGAAATAGTGGATGACGATGATGATGTCCACACTACCGCGGAATATTTTCGTGATTTTGCAGTGATCGCAGACGACCTCAATGATGATGCCTACACTTCCGCAGGAAATATTCATAACTTAGTCGCCATTAGAGACGAAGAAGATGACGTTTCCGTGACCGTGGGAGACGACGATGACATCTATTCTGCCGTGAAAGATTTTCGTGATGATGCCGCGATCACGGATGGCGACAATGACTTTGCTGTGACCGCGGATGTCAATGATGATGTCTACATGACCGTGAAGATTTTTGTGATTTGCTGCGATCGCGAATGACAATGACGACGTTTCCGTGACTGCGTGAGACGACGATAATGTATACGAGTACGGAGATGTATAGGATTTTGCCACGATTTTTTAAGTAAGTGATGATGTTTGTCATCACCATGGAAGGAGAACACACGACCGCGGCAGATATTAAGTATTTTTACGTAATGATAATGTTTTCATGAACAATAAAGATAATATTTGATATTATATTGGAATTGATGTAATGTTCTCGTGGGACACATTCACGCGGGAACCTGGAGAAAAACTTTGTAAAACCAGGAAAAACCTGAAATTTCACTCTCAAAAAATAGTATACACCCTGGATAAATATTGTCACTATTTTAAAAGAAGTTATTGCTTAATTCAAATTCAAGGTTTAGTGTTTAATTTTCTAATTATTTAATAAGTAATAGGTAGGCCTATATACAAATTGCATACTTGTGTAGGGTACTGTAATCATAAATTTTGTTTCTTTAATCGAGAATGCTTTTTCCGATAACTAAAATAGCGAACTGTCTATGCGCTAAAACAGCAATGCGGAAGTTTTGCAAAAACGCGTTGGAAAATTTAGAATGAAACGACCTGAACTACCTGGAATTACTCCCGAATTTTTTCTGGTTGGCCTGGTGGATACCCTCATTACAATTTGTATTGTGTGATGTCTAATGTTTGCTTTCATCACGTCTAAGCAAGATGGTCAAATCTGAGACCTGCGTTGCATGAGCAGAACTGCATGTATCAACTTAAAATATTTATTTAAGTAGTTCTATTGCTGCCCACTACTTAAATTTTTTATTATGTTGACCAAAACTTTTACATCTACCTCCAACACCCCACAAGGGCGGTGGTCGATGTGGCCCCCGGCGGCTCACACTAGAAAGGCCCCTTTGTGATTCTTTGGTTGCTGGAACTTTGAAAATTATAAATACTGTACACCTGGTATTGCTTTAACTGGATGAACCCTTTGTTAAACGCCTTGTTTTTGACAATCCGATCGACAAATAGACCTAGGAGGCTAGGACACCAGCTAATAAATAATTCCATTTTATTAGCGGTCTGCGGGCAAGACTTGCTTACCTACATCGGGTATCAGGCCAAAACCAGGTAGAATCAAACCAACAAAATCATAAAAGGGGGTTAAATTCCCGCTACTCCTTTGTAAACATCTTTTGCGGTCGAGGAGACTTGATTGTTATGTTGTCATCAGCCGAGCGATTTAGTTCAACGTTTTCTATACTTCACCCACTACTAAGTTTATTCTAGCCAACAGGAATTCACCCCTTTCCTACAGAAATAATCACAGAATGTGATTCATACTTGGTGGGAGCATTAATATATTTATGTTTTATACTATGACTAGACTAATCATCCTATCGGATTGGTGACCCTCATATAATAGTAGTTTATGAATTCAGAAACACACAACATTAGTCTGTCTTACATAGTTGTGAAAGGAAATCGATGGAGACCTTAATTTACAGACAACCATTGTGTTTTAAAGCGGTTGTTGAACATTTCTTTCAAATACCCATTGATGTACGAAGGACAGCGGCTAGGTCAAGTTAGGGTTGTAGTTTAAATAATCATAGAGGGATGGTATGATTTCACCCTTGTGCTTAATTTATTAATTGATTTTGCAGTCTATTTTATAATAGTAATCTAATGTATTTGATTTTTTGCAGGACTCATCAAGCAGGTCATTAAACATCATGCCCAAGTTATATACACAAGGACTACCAAGGGAGATGACCCAGCATAATTATGATTTTATGTTAATAAACTATGAGTTTTTATAAGTATTATCTTGTAGTAATTCCACTCAACTTGCTACCCAACCTACTTTTTCTCAATATTAGGCAGATATATGCATGCAGTATTTAAAATTACATCCATCTTTAGTTTTTATCTTATTTTATCTATATTGTATCGAATTGCCATCATAAGGGAATTCGATACAATGTAGATAAATAATGTAATACAGGGTGTCCACATTCTAGAAAGTCAGGGATAGTCATGGAATAAAATTCTGGTCATTGTATGTCATGGAATTAGACAAAGAGTAATGGAAAGTCATGGAAATCCCCAATGATGAATGGATTTTGAGGGAACCATTCAATGCTCTAGTCTGCTCTTGAAAATATATTTGAATCAACAAATATTTTTAACAAACAAAACAAAAAAAAATTATTATAATCAGTGCAAGGATGCCCCCTTTGTAGGTACTGTAGGAAAATAAAAGGGTCATTTTAGCCCGTAGTGAAGTCACAACTTCAGCCAGTCTTTGATCAAACTCAAAAGTATGTCAGGCGAATCCGACAGGCAACAGCTAGTAATAAATAAAACTAATAAACTATTATATTAATAAACAACAATAAAACATTTATAAGCCTCTATGTTATTAAGTAAAGACCCCTTAAAATAACTTTTTTAGTTGGCTTTTATAGCTATTTACATTACAAGTGTATTAAGAGCGTTTTTACATCACGCAAGTGAATGTTGTGCAACGAGCGTAAGCGAGTTGCATAATTCACCTAAGTGATGTAAACACGCTCTTGCGTAACGTGTAACGTACAAGATTTTACCTGACCCGACAATATATACGGGGTAACGTACAATATTTTTCATTATCCATTTCACTCATCTTCTAAGAGTAACGTTCTTTTACAAACAAAAGCTAGGTTAGGAAAATACTTTAAAGCATAACAATAACATTCAAGCGCACAGCTGATTTCTAGCGTTGAACGTCTGGCTCCATAGAGATATAATTTTTAAGTTAAGCACTCAATGTTATTTAAATGGGTTCCATTACCTCACCGAGTGAGTTTTTTTCAACTTTGCATCACTCGAGAAGTAAGGAAGTTGTATACATCACGCTTGTGATAGGGAAGTTTAACATGGCGGGTTAGGTAGAATTAATTTATGTTTTCCTCTTTATTTAATTTGAATGTTTTCCTAATTATTATGTTACCAGAAAATAATAGATTATTGTGAAAATTATAATTTTGACTGTTGTGTCTATTTCTTGTTGGGTGGGTATTAGTGTTTTGAACAGTTTTCAGTCTTTGTTTTCCTTAACGGCCATTATGGTATCAAAATCTAGCTTGCTTGAATGAATCTCTTCTATCAAGTCCCAACATTATTCAAATAGCTTTTAGTCTCTGTACAAAAACTCTTGAAGAAGAGATGTTTAAAGAACAACATGGTTCACATGCTCAGACAAAGGGTATAGATCCCTGTGGAACCCCAAGCTTTATCTTTCTTAAAATAAGATTGATGCAACTTCGGATCCCACAGAATTATTTAAATGATCTATTTGTACTACAAACTATTGTTGGTTGGAAGTAGGATTGGAAACATTTCAAGGTTCTACCCTTCACACTTAGCCGGTCCAGGATACACTTAATACAATAAGGGGTTTCTGTGTGATTTTTCTTTTTAAGCCGTTATATTCGAACCATTTATACGAAAGTTCACTTTCAAAGATCCAGCCATGTTGACCAACTTTCTGTATAATGGTTTAATAAAAGTAAATTGTAATTTTAAAAGTTAATCCTTCAGTTGGATATTTAATTTAGCCACTACAAGAAACAACAGTTAATGATAACTGATTTTAAATACACTACTTTTTTATTATTGGGACAAGATAAGTGAATCACGCTTTGTTTACATAGTAAAAACGCAACAGCTAATTTTAACAAAGTGGTGCTGTTCTTCTGCCTAAATTCAACCTTTACGTAACTACAGCAGAAGAAATACTGAGGATACAGAAGCTTTTAAAAGTAAGTGTTAAGTAAGTGTAAGCCATATGTTGGTCATCGTCATCCCAACAATACCAAAAAAACTAAATATATCAGTTGATAAACGACTGACAGGATTCTAAACATACTCTTACCTGACAGGATTCTAAACATACTCTTACCGTAACATTTAACCTGTGGTCGACCTTTGGTTTTAGTATACATCCAAAAGATGCTTTGTTCGCGGAGTATGTTTTATCTATGCTAGCACTTAATCCGTCAGCATCCACTTACCCAAATTAATTTTGTACAAGCAAACTGTGCAATGGAAATAAATAATACTACAGTACAGTACAGGGCATAAAATAACATGTTAACTGGGTGACACAAGTGTCGCCCAGTGCTGAGATTTTGACGCCCAGTGACTATGGGTTGTGCCGGCATATTTTTTTTTATGATTCACATTTTCAACGTATCGGAATTAAAAAAATTGCATTATGTAAATATTTTAGAGTATTGAGCTATGATTTTAGCCCAAGAGGTTGTGAAGGGAGCCTTGGCTGTTACAACGTTCTAGAAATACGTAATTAAGTGAGATTATATGGACTATTTACAAGCAAATATAATCAAAAAATTCATTAAAAGATAAGTAGAAATGTGTGATAATCACTTTAACTTATGCAAACATTTCCTCCTGACCGGTATTCCATACCCCCAGGTAAGTCCGGCACCACTGTCGCCCAGTGGAAATCCCTTAAAATATGCTCTGGTACAGTATAAGTGGTTTATGATACCTCTATTGTTGGTAATATAAATTGTTCAGCTCACCTGGTAAAGCCAGGATGATAGCTCTATTCTGAGCTGAAACTAGTTTCCAAAGCAACCATTTAAAATACCAACAACAGGCACAGTATTTTAAAACACTTATGGTGTAGCTTGGTAATCCGGATTCTACCCATAGCAAAAAAGGAAATAAATATACTGGACCCAACCTGTCCTGACCATGCTTCACTGTAGCATATGCCAATATACAGGGTGTTCAAAAAAGGTGGGGACATAATTTACGTACTGATTCCTTGGGTCTGAATAAAGAGAAAATCAAGAATAATTTTTTTCCAAAATTGCTTTGGTAACCAGGTGTTCACCATTTTACGTTCTTTACATAAACATTTTTATCTTTGAATTTTTTCAACAGATCTTTATAAAAACCTGGTATGTATGTTAAGGTAGAAGAGACCCATGTTAGAAAAAGTAATCATTTTCATTCAACTTAAAATTTCAAAATGGCGAACATTTTATTTTTTGGAAAGTAAATAAAAGAAACGTCTTATAAAAACATACTCACAAGACTGTATATAAAAAAGATGGTAAGTGGTAAGACCCATTCGTCTGTTGGTGATTGGAGTGCCCAATCAAAATCGATCACCACTTACAATCTTTTTACTTTCTCCCCACCATATAGTCCAGGAGCTGAGGGGGTTTGAGCATGCATGAAAGTAGTACGCAATGTTATTGCTGATTATTGTAATATGGACTCTGGTGATCAAAATTACGTATGTCGCCTATTTCAAAAGTGGTGGTCGATAAGGTGAGGGGGAGGGGGCAAACATGGTGGTTTGCGCTATGCATTAAAACGCTGATATTTCGAAAACGGTAAAAGATAGAACATCGGTTAAAACGATGTTGTAATTCTAAAAATGTGGACTACAATAATGGTTATTGGGCCCGAGGTCGTATCTCTATAAATAAACAAGTTATTGTATAAAATATGTAAAAATGGACTTTTCGTGTAGTTTTTTTTTTATCGAAAGTAGAATTAATTTGCGAGTGTGGCAAAGAATTAATATCAAATATCTTTGCTGATACTTGTAATATGGACTGTGGTGATAAAAATATGCATTTATTTTAACTAACATTTTAACTACACTTAAAAATATGCATGACACTTTTGGGATTGAGTTTTTCGTAGCAAAGATAAACACTCACACCGGCAAAAAAAAGTAATATGGAAAAATCAGGATCTAGGATAATAATTTGTCATGGGCTACGTCTGCTTCAAAATGTGTATTTTTGTAGGTAATAATTTGCAGGATCGCCAGCGATCAAAACAATACATAACACAAACTAATTCAATTTATTTCTTTAAATAGTGAATTTGGCTTTGTACATATTATAACTGTGCTAATTATACAAAATGGTTTTCAAAAAATAAACAATTTCCACATACAAACTTCAAGAGGCAGGTTTGTGATCTATTACTATCAATGACTTCAGATAAACATGTTCTCAATGGATTAGGATTGGAGAATAAACATAAATTGGTTTTGGTTTCCTTGACGTATAAAAATTGTATTGCATTATTATTTAAAAAAAGTAATATGTGTAAAACTATTTGACAATCTCGTCTAAATAGCTGTACAACTCCCAAGAGCAACAATAGCTGAAACAACCAATGTTGAAAAATGAATGTAGGTACAATTTTAATTAAAATAGATAAATTCTCTTGACATCAGACTAAACCTTTATTTACAGAAATATTACGAGTAGACAAATTGAACTTGGTAACCTATTGTAACACAATCTTGACAGTAAGCAGAAACCTTTCATATTGGTAGCTTGACTATTAAGCATTTAATGCAAAAACACAAGGATACACTTAAAACAACAGTGTAGCTATCAGGTAGGTTCACATGTTAAGGTTTGCAAAATAGACTTAAGTTTAAAAGAGAACACACGGTTTTGATGTGCATATCAAAGAAGCTTAAAATTCAGAAACACAAAATAAATTGTAAAAGGAAACAATCACAGCTATATATAATATAAATGAGTATACAATAAAATAGATTTTTTAAGTTGTCACTTTTACAATGCGGTAGAAAATATACAAGTACCAGGGTTGGATACGATCTATTAGATGAAGCACCACCCTGTCTAAAAATGTATTTATGTCACAATATTATGCAAATTAATTGGAAGCTTCAATAACGTAACATTTAATAAAAATAACAGCAAGTGTAATTTAGAGCCTTCATAAAATTACTAAGCGTATAAATGTAAAATAAAGAAATATAAACTTACTTCCGCTTAATAACGTGGGTTCAACCTTTTAACTTTGCTTTATATTACTGATCGTTTGTTATTAATTAATAATCTCTATTGCCGGTGTTTCTATCATCTATATATTAATAGGCAATCATGTTTCTTTCTTTTTTCTCAGCTCGTGTGCCTCGTAGGGAAAATCTACGCATACTGTTAGAAAGATATTATCCTATAGGTGTGCAGAATCCCTTTATAAATTAAAATAGGCTCAAAATAAGCACAAAAAATGAATTTTAAATTTTAAAAATTAACATTGGCTTTACGGGTTGCCATGCTGGTGACAAAATAACAACGAAATATAAAAATAAAATCAAAACAAATGGAAGAATTCCCATCACATGATTTATTTACAGTGTGGGGTGAAAATAGAGAAGACTGACTGTACATTACACATTTTTGGTCAAGTTTTCGACCACTGGACGACCTCTAGTGAATATTAATCCTTGTTAATTTGTTATTTAAATACAAAAACAGGGTGGTCACAGAACTCCTTGAAATAAATTAACGCATTTACCCAGCCGCAAAACTTGTTTTCCCAGTTGCCAAGTGTACCATTTTATTAGGGTACTGAAGGTCCCTGATATATTCAGGTTGGATTAGGTCAACAATTGGCAAGAGGAGTCAGTTCGGGACAACAAATTATTATAGATTCAAACTCAGGTCAATTTGAGCATATATTTCCGAGTTTGTGGAACGGTTTTGCAAAGAAAATTGACGATTTTATCGCGATCGTGGGTGATCTTTGTAGTTTTGCCGCAATTGTGGGGGGTGATGTCGCCATGAACGTGGACCATGTTCTCGCTGTGACCATGGAAGATGTTTTCGCAATTTCACCGTGACCGCAGACGATGTTTTTATACGCTACTGGAGATTCATGAGTCTCCATGCAGAAGCAAACAAAGTACATCATTGAGCGTTAAGCCCATAAAAAATTGTCTGAATTCTATATTACAACAAATTGGCAATTAACTTAAGTTTTCACTGCGAAATTTTAAAATCCACTCATAATTCCCGTTTTTTTTCTAGAACAACAAATTCACACATAGTTCCCGGTTTGAGGTGTGCGAACCTGAGATTTTCGAATGAGTCAAGCGCAAGCCAACCATTAGACAAAAATGCTTGAGCCTCCACTTTATGTTTGAGACGAGCTTTTTTTTATCACAAAATATACGTTGTTACAATGTATTAATAGTATTTAAGTATTTATCAAGCATCTTAGTAAACCTACAGACTAAGCGAATTTCCATTTGCCTGATTTGATTTTTAATTAAATCTATTTCAATAACATTAGGTTTAACAAGTACCTAGGTTTGCTGCTACAGGGAGGGTAGTACATTTTTTTTTAAGCTATAGCTTGGTAAAAATAAATAGATTAGCCAAGTTTGATCAAAATATATCCATAAACAAACAAACATTCTTTACAACAATAAACATGGGAATTTTAAATTTACCAATTTTTGAGATTTCTCCATAACCAATAACGGTACAAAAACACTTTAATATATTACATTATTTGTTTTTTAAGCTCTTCAAAATGGTCTAGAGAGGTTTTAAGGATCAAAAACGAGAAAGACAAGTTTTTACCACATAAATCCCCCCCCCCCCCAATAGAACCCCGTTACCATGGTCTGATCATGATGGTTCCCGAACTCTTTTAAATAAACGTTGGTTTACACTTTTGTACCAAATTTCATTAAAATCGGATCATTTTTGCTTGAGTTAACGTGCTATCGGAGACATATATATATATAAATATATGAAGAATTTGAGAACAGATGGTGTTTTTGGCCTCTGGGAACATCAAAACAAAAAAGTAAATCGGTCCCAGAGCCAGGTTTTACTATGAGACTCTTTGAGAAATTCGCTATTAGAATGGTAAATAAAAGTCAACTGAAAACGTCTTTCTACAGAAACACCTTTAATTTACAAAATTAGTTAATATCACCAAATTCTGTATCTGAACAGGGGGTATTAATCCAGGCTGTACATTTTGAGCAAAACTCATGAAGGGGGTTATATTTTGGCCCAAAATAAATAACTTCTTGATCAGCATCGTACGTGTTATTAAATTACCTGAAAAAATATACATCTAATAACACTAGTAATAATATATTTACACTTATACTGTTGCCTCAAATATAGTAGTAATATATTTGAGTAGTACTCAAATATGGTACCACTTACCACCTTTCATATGTATTTACCATCTTGTGAGTCAACAGTATAAGTGTAAATATATTATTACTTGTGTTATTAGACGTATATCTTTAGTTTTTTTTTTTTTTCAAGTAGTTTATAATATTCCTATATAAGTTGTAGTTTCATTCTGTTGGGGGGAATAGTTATGAAAAATCCTCTACAATAGTAATATAAACCTGCCTCCTGAAGTTTTTTCATTTAATTTTTTTCATATTACCCGAGATGGACTTACTTTTATTCCTGTTATCAAAGGACTAGTTTAGATGACATAATATACATAATTCTTAAAACCTAAACACTAAAAAATATAACAAAGATGATAGTCACAGCCTACAGAAAATAATAAGCCATTTTAACACTTTCTGCTATTAAAATATTTATTTTAATTACAAATATCTTGCCACTATACACATCACTGTTAACATAGTCTTTATGAACATTTTGAAAGTGTAAAAATGAAACTAAAACTATAGGAATATACACTAAATATATACACAGCGAAAGAAGTAGAACAATTATGTTCTACCTCTTAAACGGAACTCTTTCTACAGAAGATTCTCCCACAGTCCATTCTGGGTCATTGGGGTCTTCTTCTACAAAGGTGTCTGCAGATTCTGTTGAATCTGATACTGGGGTCACTGGGCGACTCTCACTCTGCAAGTTACATACTTATATTAGGAACACAAATATCAAGAACCCTTAAGTAGACCTGTCCCAATTGTTTTAACTTTCTTTATTTGTATACCTTGGAAGTAGTGATGTACCAGTAAAGTAAGTTGCAAATTGTGAAATTTGTTAGACTATTCAAATTGCACAAATATGTTGGTTACACGCCACAAAGAGCCACCTAAGTCACAATTTACGGGTGTATTTGTGAATGCAATTTAAAATATCGGAGCAAGTAATATCAAAAGTATAGTCGGAATTTTCTATGGGGACAAAATTTTACTGTCAGATAAGTATGGCTGTTGTCTTAAGGAAAATCTCAAAACAAAACAGTAATGAAATCTCAAACCAAAACAGTAATGAAACTTAATGGCTTAAATAATACATTACCGGTATATTGTTTGCAAATAGTTTGTTATTATTAGAGGTGGGTGAGTACTTGACTGTCAAGCAATCACTCAAAATTTTCCACTCGATCTCGAGTCGTAACTACTACTCGAAAGTTGGAGTCGAGCAGTCATTAAATGAGCCACTTTATGATTTTCTTCACCCGTATTTAATAAATGATATTTGTTTTTTTGTTTATGTCATATTTAATCCCTATTCCTACAAAATACAACTACTGTATCTAATCTAATATAGGCTAGTCCAGCGTAAACAACAATGTTCAACAAACAACCATCCATATTGACATTCGGCAGAGCTAGCAAGAAGACTAATACTTACCTACAATACAATACGTCTCAATAACAATATGGTAAGTTAAACAAAATAAATTATTTAAAGAATCTATCGAGTTACAGTAGTCGATAGTAAATAAGGGAGTCTATTAGTAAATCATACGATTCATATGCAGATGATTCTTGAAGATAAGGCATTAGATTTAGTTTGAATTGATATAAAAATACCTTATACAAAAATAAAAATAAACTATTATTGCAAGGTAATTTTCCCACTTTAATTGAATTGGTGTTTAGCTTAAGCCGATAAGTTTCTGCAAGGAACATCGATGCATCAGAATGATGCAACTGAGTCTTGGCGGAAATTTCAGTTCCACATCAGTGCAGTGTTGTACAGTGGTATAGTGGCGTAAACGTAGTATAAAGTATTTACATTCCCAAATTTACAACTAATTTTTAATTGAGTTAACATAAACATTATTAAAATTAGTCAAACTATTAACAAATTAAAGGCTATAGCAATTTTACAATAGTTTAGCCGACATTTACCATAATGGTGAAATGATAAATATGGCAACGTCAGCCCTGCAAAACAGATGTTTGATAGGAAAACAAAGCAGTGGTAGCAGAATCAGAATGAGCAGAACGACTACAGAGAGAGAGGGAGATGGCGCAAAAAAATGGAGTGATATGTCAACGTCCGTTTTGATTGTTTTTTCTTTGAGATAAATTTGTAACTTATAATAAAATTGATTTTGTTTAATAAAAAATAAAATAAACTGATTCTATTTATTAAAATTAATAAACTGATTCTCTGCAAACATATAAGAACATGTTAAGACATTTTACAAAATAATGGGATGAAACTCTGTCCAATATTAAAATATGTTGGCATTTTATATTTAGACCATATTATGTACTTATCATTTCTTATAACAGAAAAAATATAGTATTAAGATTAGTCTTACACAGTTTTTATCAAATTTTACATAACAAGGGTAGACACAAGTTGATACTTACTTCACTATCACGCAAATAGTTAGGATGAGAACTTGAATAAGCCTTAAAAGGGTGTCCAGGTGGCATGACTTTTAACATTTTTTCATATATTTCGTCAGTCAAAGGAAACGTTCTAAGTTCATATGGAGCAACCTGAAAATAAATGTTAGTTTCAGCTCAATTCATATAAAGAGAAAACAGAAAATGTTAATACAATCACCCACATCAGTAGAATAGACATCACATATAACGCTTATGTTGGGATCCAACCAGAGTCTCTTTAAAGATAGATTATTTAAGTTTTAACAAAGCGTTCTTTGTAGAACATCAAACGTATGAAAGTTCAATCTTGTAGTTTATTTTTTAAATCCCAATCAAATCAGCTCTCCTTAGTAAAGCAATAATTACACCCCATAACCTGAACACTGAAGGAAACCATTTGGTTATGAATATGGACCTAAAATTCCAGTTAAATTAAGTGCCCAAAAAGCGGCTTAGGTATTTTTGAATTCTAGTTTGATGATGAAATCATGAATTTAAACATAACTAGCACCAACTTCTATGCCGAAAAGCAAACGAGAAAATAAGGAACGGTTTGGCACAATTTGGGGAAAAATACTATAGCAGGGTCCGGCGAGAGTTAACCCTGAAACTGCTGGTTAGATGTTCTAATGCCACCGCAGTTTGCATAGTTAATTTTAAAAGATTATAAAAATATCGAGGCAGTTCTAAAAAGTTTCATTTGTATACATTTTGTAAGAAATGAGTAGGCCTACAGTTAATTGTAAATTTTCAAAAAAGTGCAATGTTTTTTTTTAATTTATTTGTTTATAAAATGAGTTATTAGCTGACTGGGAATCGTCAAGTGAGCTGATATTGAAAACAAGAATTAATTAATTAAGTAATTATGCAACCCAATAAAAAATGAGCTAACAGGATCTTGATGTTTACATTCGTGCTTAATATTTAAGTCAATCGGTGTATGAGTTTATACATGTGAAAAATTCTGCACTGGTTATTTTGTGACCCATGTCACTACGCAACGGAAGGTTTGTACCTCATCATGCTGGATGTCCACAGGAGAGACACATCGTGACAGAGTTCTCCTTCGTATCTGAGAGACATCACAATCAGCAGGTTGAGGGGTGGCAGGGGGAGATGTCATAGGTGACCCTCCTCCATCAGCTGCCACAGGACTCATAGGATCTGTCAACAATCATCAATACTTCTATAGGTACGCTAAGTAAATCAAATTGTTTTTAGTATCCAATGTAAACTACCCAGTTGAACCACCAATAGTTGAAAAGAGAAGGTCTACATTACGTGATAAGAACCATATTGTACACTATTTTAGCATCTGTATTACTAAAAGAATTTTTGGGATTTTTGTCTGCATCAAATCGACCCCTATAGGCATATTGGGTATCAATTTAAAGCTCTTATCTAGATGTGCCTTTGGCGGATTTAGATGATATCTTTCGTCCTATGGGCTTTTAAAATTTTGTAGTTTGTGTTGAATTCTGTTGTCAATCATATTAACTTTTTCAAGTTTACATTGTTTTAGGCCTACATCAAAACAGATGGCCATGATACAACTTTGTTTACATCCATAAAAAAATGGGGTTATCTGTAGTTGGTTATGTTTAGTTTAAGTGAATTCAAGTAGAATATTGTAATGTTATTTGTGTAAAATGTAAAGAAGAAAATTATGCATCTTCATTGTATGTGTCATTAATATATTGTAATTTTTTTAAGATGCCTCAATGAGATAGCGCACACAATAAAAAGAATATGGATATGATGAGACATAGTCGTTTTCACCTTTATATCAACTCTATATCAAATATATCACGGATTTTGAAGTCACGAAGTGACGCAGGTTGCTAGTACACATTAATTTTAGTAGTATTTCCATTAATCCTACCCCCCCCCCCCACCGTCCTTATATTATCGAGGAACTGAATACATAAGAGTCAGCTACATAGACATACCAGGTGTGTTGCCTCCACTGCTCTCGGCCCTACTGTCAGCTCTACGATGGCTTCTTGATCTGGCCATACTGTTGGGAAGTTTTAAATAAGTAGAAAACTTTTTTCTCTCCTCTTGTTCACACTTTTCATGGCGGCTGATGAGACCTTCTTCAGTCAAATCTTCAGCCTGACAAATGTCAAATTATTAACAATTATATCTATAAAATATGATTACCACAGCAATACAAAAGCAGTTTATTTTTACAGTAACAATAAACTAAGTACAATAGAAACTCGATTATCGGGGGTAATGGAGGGAGGGAGACCACGGATAACCGAAAAACCATTGTTAATCTAAACATATATTACAAACCCATAAAACCTTTAATACTGTATAAATGGTCATAAATGTGATAAATTACATTTTACATAATCAAAAACTAGTATGGCACAATCTTAATATGTTAAGTCATCACATCTTGGTTCAGTTATAAAAACTGTAACGTTTAAAATCCCAGCTTACTGAAAAAAATGACTGTACAGCAAAATAAATCAGGTAAAGAACAGAACAAAGAACTTCTAGTTACTGCGACCTGCTACTGCTAGTCAAAGGCTGCTGCTACATTGACCTTGAATACATATTGATATTTTTTGTTATGCTTCCATTTTATTTTTGTCAAATGAACTGTGATGTTTCAAAAACAGTTTTGCGGTGGCCTACTGCATATAAATAATGAGCAGAAAAAGTTTAATATAGGCTAGCCCACAATGTATTTCAACACATTAGACTTAAATAGGCCTACACAATTTATAACATTTTTTGGATGTAGGGATGGTCGGGATTGAATTTTTAGTTCGGGACGGGAATTTTATTTCCTTCCCGTTTTTCGGGACGGGACGGAATTTTTCCCTGTGCATAAAAAGCAAGTCTTGAGTATTGCAGTTACCTAAAAAGACAAAGAAAATCAATTTTTACCATTTGTGCCACTGATCTATAAAAACAAAAAAAATTGGGTAAAAATTTACAGGTATAGAAACTTGTGACTCGCGGTCATGGCGCGATCGTCGGTATGACTCTCCTGGCATGGCGCGATCGTCTGTATGATTCCGCGGTCATTGCGTGATCGTCGAAATGATCTTGCGGTCACGGCACGATCGGCGATCGTTGAAATGATCTTGCCTCTTGCGTTCGCGGAACTATCGTCACTCGCTAAGCGGCAAAATCGCCGACGATCGGATCAAATCCCGTCCTGAAAAATTCCCGAATCAAATGTAATCCCGTTCTGGAAACGGGAATATTTTTTCCCCTAAAATTTCGGGACCCGTCCATCCCTGGTAATGAGGTTATGTAACATAATTCTAGAGGCATCTATCGACTACAATTGACCGCCTCCGGTGACTCCAGGTTCTACTGTAGTTTTGATAAATAATTTTTTAAATCATTAAGATAAATACTTCAAATTTCCTTGAGAAAATAATTTTAAAAATATTTTTGACAAAGATATACTCTTGCTTAATACAACTAGATAGTTTACATCCAAGGAAAAACCCATCAATAAATCATAAAAAAACAAAACTAAATAAATAATTAATGGTAATAAAAAAATATAATAAATAAATAAATTATTGTCAATCTATTTCAATAGGCCTTAAAACAATTTGATTCTGAGTCTGCAAATAGAGATTGGAAATTAAGTCTAGAATCAAAATGAGCCTATTCCTACTTTTAAGGTTAAATTTGTGACTCAAACCAGATTTGTCTCAGTTTTCAAAAATTATTGGTCATTTTACAGTTACAAGGTTTTGAAGGTTTAAGTGGGTTCCCTGCTTTGAATAACATATAATGTATACAAAGTTGAAGGTATCTTACTTCATCCTCTTCTGCTGCAGCAGCTGCTGTTGTTTCTTCTTCTTCTTTACTTAGTCTCCTGACCAAGCCATTATTCTTAAGATCTAATTTAGCAGGCTGCTCCACAGGAAGCAAACGCCACCTAAGGCACACATAGAAGTATAAATGAAGTTTGAAGGTTTTGCATGAAAGTGTTAGATCATGCAAACGTAAGAATGATAGTTAACAATGGAAATTAACAGAATGATTTTGTGGATGCTGATACTTGAAAAAATGAGACACATTGTCAATAAGAACAGGCTTGGTGTTAAGACCTGTCTGAAGTGAGGTAAGATTTCAATGGTTTAACACCTTTAACACTTTGGACTTGTAAGGTTTTAAGTGAAGTATAGTAGAGAGAGATATTAGATACTAAGCCAAGTAAAACTTTCCCTTACTTTGGTGTAAGTATTTCTTTGTACTGTAGTTTTTCCAGTCTTGTAGCAGCAGCAACACTGTAGGGAATCACAATATTGTCGATATCATACGAATTTTCTCTTTTACGCCTGAAACATACCAAATTAATTATTAGGACAAAAATGTCTAGAGCAAACAAAATACATCTATGTTTTGGAGGTAGTTAATTACAGATCAAGTAAAATCTTACAAAATCGCATAAAATCAAAGTTATTGTTCAAAACCAGTAATGAGAGCAGTACAACACTTTACGGTTCCCTTGATACAGCATGGTTTGCAGTGGTGACACAGTGACATTACATTTTCTGAAATGTCCTGTACTGGGTTGTATTAAACATATTCCCTGGGGACTGAGCCTTGCTCAGTTGCAGTTAATAAATAATATTGCAAACAAACATCGTCTAATTTAGAAAAAAAAATAATATTACAAACCATAGATAGAAATTTGATCGCTGAAATAATAACAACTCTGTACTGTAAAAGCATTCAATAAAACAAAAATAAGACACATTTTTATCATCTTGCTTAAGTTTAACTCCCTTCTAGTCATTGAAACTCATTTGACTTTTACCACAGAAAACGTACTACTATAACCCAGAATGCCAACCGCATGGTAAAAAGCATTAAGCGGTTTGAGAGAGCTTTGCCTGTCAATCCGTAGGCAGCGCCACCAGCGTTGCCATGCGGTTGGCATTCTGGGTTATAGTAGTACGTTTAGTACGTTTTCTGTGCTTTTACTCTCAATTTAGACAGCAGATAAATATATATGATACAAAAAAAATCATATTAGTTTCAAAATTGCTTGTGAGGACGATTTTCCGGTTTTTCGATACTACTTCTAAAGAAATTGAGATTATGTTTCTTCTTTTTTTCATTGGGATTTAGCAACGGTGCTAGTTTTGTGCCGATTAAACCCCCCCCCCCCCCCCCAGTTGTAATTAGAACTTTGAATGCCTCAGTACTTTAGGTATTAAGTTTTCGTGGGAGAGGGCTAGGTAAATAATCAGTATTTGATCGGAACTATTTTCCCCTATATCGTTAAGTAATCTTAATCTTTGCTCCAGAGTTACAACTGATGTTTTTCCCATTTTACCGTATTTTGCAATTTGCTAGTATACTGTGGACTGCTTGTTATAAACACATGTGAGTAGTGACAATTCTTTTGTTTTCTTTTTCCTTGTTATTTTGTTTAACCAACATAGTTACTTAACTTAGCAACCCATAAGGCCAATGTTAAATTTTTAAATGAGATTTGTAGCGAAATACAAACTTTCCTGAGGTAGTGGCTGTCACCAATCATGTTTTTAGGGCTTATAAGTCCCTAATTCAATAATTTGTCAAAATCCTTCCGCCGGATTACGAAATATACATCTTAATACAGACAGACAAACAGACATAGCTCGTATTAGAGAATATGATTTCCTTGGTAGATTTGTCATCCTTATGTATCAGCTGAAGACAATTTTATTGTTAGTTCCATCCAGTGCCGTTAGGATCGTGTTTTTGTTCCTTGTAACAATTACAGTTATTCAAGATTGTTTAGCCAAATATAAAAATATAATCATAAAATTGGCTCTAAAATGATTTTAAAAAATGTCGTTGACACTAGCACCCAATTTTTTAATAACATCAGCTTCAGATTTTACAATGGGATGAGAAGTCTACTTGTGTTGGTTAGTCTATGGTCATATCAACAAACAATTATTACATATACCTATGTCAAGCGTTTTTATACTGACAATAGCCTAATAGTGTGGTATTTACCATTTCACCATGTACCACTTCATTATCTTTCCTTAAAGAGAATATCAAGATATAACAATATTTCATTCAACCGTGAAGTCTCCCAACTTACCATACAACTTAATACAGCAGGAAGCCTACTTACATGGGACGAAAGGTCTTCAATAGCCTGCCCAAACACTTAAAGATCTTAAGAAATCAAGACTTGAATAGGAAACTCTAAAAAACTGGCTAATGGATCAACCATTCTACTCACTAAAGGAATTCTTTGTTCAAATTTGTTAAGCAAGATGAAAATTCAAATTACAATCTATGTACAGTCCAACCTCAGTATAACGAATCTGAAGGGACCGAACTGAATATTCGTTATATCAAGGATTTCGGTAAAACGAGGTTCGTTATATAGAGGTTATGTTTGCAGGAATTTCGCTAAGTCGAGGTTCAGAACCAGCGTCGGTCAATATAGGTCGGGATTAGACAAAACACAATTAAAGTAGCATATGCTACAACTTTACACTACAGTGTTTACATTGTACAGTAGAACCTAAATTATCTGGCATAAAAAAAGGGGAGGGATCTTGAATATTGCGCAATCATGATAATGGCATTGACCTTGGTACAGGTTAAAAACTGTAAGTTTAAAATCACAGCTTGTTTTAACCCTCCTAAAACCTAGCCAAACACTGTATTGCGTAGTCATAAACCATGTAAAGAACAAAAGAAAACAGTAGTAGAAAGTTTTGTAAGCTACTGCTCGTGATAGGCCGGTACGCTACTTACAGTACAGTACTGATTTATCACAACAGAGGAATGTCAATAATAATCATTAAATATAGCATTGGTGTTGCTAGTTGAAACAAATCGTATTGAAAACAATAAATTATTAGATAAGTCATTTTAAAAGTGTATAATCATAGCCAACTTAAAGATAATAAAAATACTCAAAAAATGAATGTTAAAATAACGATGTTGCTATTCTTTCTCTTTGGTTTTGTTTTTATATTCTTTCTTAGGTTTCTCTTTATCCAAAAATTTTACAATTCACCATAGTTACTTATCGCCCAATCACAGCTTACTAAACATTACGTCGTCATCAGTCCTCAGGGAATGAAATCAGTTCTCAGTTGCAACATAGCGCGCGCAGCGACAGCAGACAGAGAGATGTGTAAAACCAAAACGGAGCAGACGAATGTTAGCGCAAGCTATGACGTCACCTTTCATTTCATTTGATAAAGAAACAGATTTTTCAAAAACAATAATGGGGTGGGGGATTTGTTATATCGAGGGAAAGACGTAGACAATTCGTTATGCAGAGGTTAAATTCGCAATGTAGAGGTTCTGACAATGATAAATTCGCTATATTGAGGTGTCTTATTTTAGCCGTAATCACGAAAAATTCGTTAAATCAAGGTTGTTGTTATGGTTTGTTCGTTATGTAGAGGTAAAATATACATTATGTCTTATGAAGAGTTCTAGGGGATTAAAAAAAATTCGTTATATCAAGGAATTCGTTGTATCGAGGTTCGTTATATCAAGGTTAGACTGTATATGACACTATTGTATTTCTTAAAGAAATCTCAATAAAGAAAATTGATTGTTCCAAGCATCTTTTAACTCAGAAACTACTCATATGGTCTTAATTTTATTGCACAAGCTGTTTACTTCCTGCATGAAATGTTATTTCCTTATCCCGTCTAAAGATTTATACTATACTAGCTGTGTGCCCGTTCTACGCACAGGGATCTTATAGTAGTCAGTTGAAACCTTCTTATATTAAGAACAGCAGTTGGTTTGCTTATTTTAAGATATGCTGGCAAAACTATTATAACTTCGCAAATCCAGTATCTGACAGTTTCAAGCCAAAACAAATGCTTCACAATTGAATGTCATCCGGATCGTGTTGGTCCATATGTTAAATCCAATGATTAAACTAAAAAAAAACTTTATAGGGCCAGATCTATGAGGCATAGTCCTAAGGTAGGCCTATAGTTGAGAAAGTTACTTTCCACAATGTTTAAAAGTATTTAAAGGACTACCTCAACCTCACCATTTAACACTTTATTCGGGTTGACATTTTCATTATCAAAGGTGCTCTTGTCCTTTTCGTGACACTGAGAAATAAGGACATTAATGCGTTACCAACAGACATACACACAAAACAACAGAACTTAATTAGGGAATTTGCTATGTTTTTTAAGCATAACAAAGTACATATAAAATTAGTATTTGAAATCTTTGTCAGTGTCATCAAATTTTATCATAACAATTTATATTTGCTTGGACCATAGACAATAGAGTAAATATAGACTGTCAAAGAAAGGTTTTGCGATCTGCCGCTAGAGCGTTATCACCGTTCGATATCGGTTATCGGTATTCTATTCGGTTTCATCGTCGACTACTCGCCAGCTGTTACCAGCACTACCACTCTTGCAAACGAAATGCTTACTATATCGCTATTATCGTCTTCTGCAATCGCGTCAAAATCATGAACATCCTCCGCGGCTGTGTAGACATCATCATTGAATGCCGTGGTCCCGAAACGTCATCATCGTCCACGATTGCGGCAAAATCGTGAACATCTTCAGCTGCGGTGACATTATCGTCTTGCGCGATCGTAGAAAAGACGTGATCATTTTTCCCGCGCTCACGAAAACGTCGTCTAGCACGGTCGCGGTTTGAGAACATCTCCCGCGGTTGTGTAGACATCATCATCGTCTTGCGCCGTCACGGAAACGCGATCGTTGTCTAGCGCGATTGATGTAAAATCATGAAATTTTCCGACTTTGATAACAAAAAGACTAAATCCAAACTTTTCAAGACCATTTTGAAATTCAATACTAATAGCCTACCTGACTTTCCCGTTTTCCCCGACTACTAGACACCCTGGTTAATTAGATTTTGACCATGCAAATATAAAACAAAACCTTCCAATAAACCACACCCTAGAATTATGGATTAATAAAGAAAAACTTTGAATCACTGTAATGAAACTACAAAAGTTTAACAAATATATGTTAAAAACATACAATAAATGATGGCATTTAAATTAACTTATTGCTTAAATTAAATAAGTCAGTAAACTCCAATTCCGGGGAATTCCTCCATAGTTGGCAACACTACTCCCAACTACCAAGTTGTTATGGAAACGGTCGCTAGCGCTTGATGCTGCAGCGGTGTGCGCCGTAACTACACATTACCCCTAGCGGTCGGCGCCGGAATATACGCTAACCGCAGCACAGCTGACAGTCTATATTTATTTCTTTTTGTCTATGCTTGGACCGAAGATGACCCGAAATGCTGTCGAAATGACGGCTTACTACATGAAATTAAGTACTATAAACAATTTAGATTGTAAATATATAATAAAAATTACCAAAATAGGCCACAAACTATTGATACATATACAACGTAAATCGTAATAACGTTGTGAGATAATATGAGATTGTTATTTATTCTAATAGTTTATTCATTATTGTTACTGTTGAATTTTTACAGATATTTGTGTCTTTGTTGTCTTTTTTTGTTGTTGTTATAATCACTCAAGAGACAATCAAGGACTCATAAAACTGCATGCTACTGATTCAAACTGACAAAACTGTATGGTAAATAAGAAACAACATTTTTAGTGCAGACAAACCATTTGTGGTTTTTGGACTTTTGTAACCTATGTATTGGTAATTATTGTGTAAATAAATTTCTTGATTGATTGATTGATTGGTAAACAATTCATGATGGTTTGCTGAACAAATGTTTTACTTAAATGAGTTATCATTTTCTTGAATTTAATACGGCTGTAATACGACTGTATAAATAAGGTGCATCACCAACGATAACTAATTTGTAAATTAGTGATGTGGTGGTACGTGAAAATGATTCTTGCTGCTACCAACGGTTCTAAGGAAAAGAACCAGTACCGAAAACCAACGTTTAAAGTTAAGAATTACGTTCGACCAATTTAATGCGTTAATAAAGTCTCAAGGTTCATTTCTTGGTTTTGGATTTTCTCGTAAAAAGTTATCGGCAATCAAAGTTATTTCCCATTAATTGTTTTTTTCATAAACAACTTTTAATGTAAACTTAATGGTGTCAGTTTGAAAAAAAAAGCAACCTTATACAAACAACTTTTTGTTATTTAATAGATTATGTATTCTCTAAACAATGATTGGTATATCTTTTAACATTAGAAGGAAATGTGACAAAAATCACACAATGCTGGGTTTTTGGACGTTTGTAATTTTATTTCTTAACCCTTTCCGCTCAATTGGCGGGGGAGCCCCGCCGTTCGTCATGGCCGCACGAACTCCAATGTCGGACCGGGCCCGCCCGTCGCTATGACAACGTAGGCCTATTATGCTAGTTTTGATTTTTTTTCCAGTTTTTGTGTAAGTATTTGGAAAAAGATTATTTTTTGGAAAACAAATGAAGTATGCAAATTTGGCTCAAATTAAATGGAGCTAGTGAGAAAATAGGCCTCTCGTAATTGGAGTGGAAAGGGTTAAGTAGGGAGGGCGTGTATTCTAGGGAAAAGTTCCGGTATCAAGGATCGTCGTCGAAAAGGGTGTTATGAATAATTGGGTAGGCATAAGTACCCAAGAGATGGGCTATGGGCCTATTGGCTGTATGGTCCAGCGATTGCATCACACGGTGAGTAGGAACAGAAAGTGACACATTGGAAAAGCGAGTTTAGAATCATCCATTAACCGTAAACCTCTGTTACAATCACCCACTGCAGTTGTGATTTTTTACTTTACACTTTACACAACCGCCATTGAAGCGCCGTCAATGAGTGGAAACCTTGTTTGTAAGCTATTGGCGACGATCTTTAATAAATTTAAGTTTCCCAGCCCTATACAACACTCATTCAAGTTCTTCTTTCTGGTAATAAAAACTCAAGAATAATTTTATACACAAAGAATCTCTGAATTTTATACACAAAAAATCTCTGAATTTTATACACAAAGAATCTCTGAATTTTATACACAAAGAATCTCTGGTTCCTGACCTGGATGATGCCTAGTTATTTAATTTCATTTACGGTTACACTATATTATTCCACTTGCGAATAATTAAATCCGTTATGTAAGAAAAACGTTTTTAATCTCACTTGGATGGGATTTGCTTTCAAAACATGATCGGAAATGGTTGCGGTACTTGTAAACATATCAGTGACAGCTAGAAAAAATAATCTTGATCCGAACAGCTGTTTGTTATTTCATAGATGATTATGTGATAAAAATTGGACGAAAACTGCATTTTTGAACGTCCATAATTTTATTTACAAAGTAGTGAGGCCATATTTTAATGGCTAAAGACACAATCGCCAATTCAGTGAATACATTAAAATGACTTGGATCTTTATAGGTACTTTCGTTTTCCTGGAGAAGATTGCGTAAAATGCCATCTTGAGTGTTACAGACAGACAGACAGAAATTTAGATGAGACTTGTTTCGGCTTCTTTAATGTATAAAACTTAAAAAATAACCTAAACATTTATGATTCTGAGCGATGTACAGACAAAACTCTAATTTTATTTATATAGATTTACTTAATATGTTAAAGTATTTTGATGTTTGTGAAATAAACTCGGAAACATTTTGTCTTACCTAAAGGCATCCCTCTCCTTGCTGCAGTGAGACGAAGGGGATGGAGATGGGATGGGTGAAGAATGAGTTCCACCCAACATCATATATGAATCTGGATTACTGTCTTCATCTTCATGTCTTGTTTCCTCCCCTTTATCCTCTGAACATGATAATCCTACAAACAAAACATAAGCATTAGATATTAAGAACCAATGTAACAGATCTGTGTCTCACGGCACAGGGGATCTTCAGCCACTAAACTCTCGGACATGCTAGCTCGTCTTATGAATGAAATACCATCACTCCCTTCCCATCCTTATAGGGTCTGGCAACATTTTATTTGCGTTTTAACAATAAACTTCAAAGCTAAAAGATTAAACTAAAACACATTTTATCCTACTTGTGAGATATTACGATTCAGGGGTTTAAATAAGTTTTTCCCGATTCTTAAAATGCTGAGCTTATTAATTCATAGTCTCAATATCAAAAGCTAACAAGTAAAATATTAGGTGACTGACTTTGGCTGAATCGAGGAATTGATTATGATCATGTGGATTATAATCAACAAACAACTCATTGTTCCTATTTTTTGTTCCACTTATATTCTGGCAAAGTATGACTCAATACATGTCTCCTGGAAACTTTGACTGGTTCTAGTGTAGTAACAGTTGTCCCTTGATGAAGTGAGGTATCAAAATTTAAGGAGGGGGGGACGTACTGATGTCCTCTGTTATCAAATCCAGGAGTTCATAAAAACATGCGATAGTCATTCTAAAATAAATATAGAACCGCCTTTCATATTTTCTTAGATCCGGCATAAGGGTAGGGTGCTCGCCAAATAAATTTCTAGTTTGACTAATCCCATGAACCTAAACAGACATCCTTCTTGCACCTTCATCTTCAACCTCAGCCTTCGCTCGCAAGAGTAAACTTTTTTTGTGGCATCATATTCATAACAATAACTTGAACTAAAGAAAAACACAATAATATAAACATTCACTAAACACAGCCCCCCTATGAACTGAACACAGCTGAGCATGAACTGAGGAGTCGCCCCGCTTTCCGCTGCCTGCCGCTTCAGTGTAGGCAACCCCTATCCCGCCACGCACAGCTGCCGCTGGTTACCGACGGTCACTCACCCCTTGCCACTCCCGCCGCTGTCCCACTCCAGTTTGGACTGGCCTTTACAGCTTCGACACTAAAATATGACCGCAAAACTAGTGTTTATTTACGGACGACGGACATGACAACTAGACCAATAGACAAATTTCCTATCAGTTGTGGTTTAGTATGTAAATTCGTCGCAGAGGAGAGAAAGTCTAGGTTAGCTGGAGAACATGAAGGACAAAATTATTTGTATGACATCAGATTCTGTTAACAAGTGAGCATCGTATTTATCCTGCTATGCATCCTACAAGCCACCAATTATCCTACATTTCTTTTATTTGCTCCACGATAATTTCTTTGCTTGCCTATACCAATTAGGCCCTAGAGTACTCTGTAGACATTTATCATTATATTTGTCCTGTAAATTATCTAAGGAACATCTTCCATCATAGCCTTTTGGTAGATAATTTAAAGTTTAAGACAGGTAGTTGGCCAAGGTAGAATAGTCAGACGAACCGACAAAATAATCATAAGTTGACTTAGTCAAAACTAAAAAAAAAACTTTTACGAGAGTGAGGATGATATCAATCCACTTGAGCGTATGTAGCAGTTCCTAGAGCTTTAAACCTTTAACTAATTTTTCAAACAATGAATTAGTTGATACCGTAGACCAGGTTTCCTGTCTACCCCTGGATTTTAAGACTCCTTTTGAGCACTCTGGGGAAGAAATTTGAATGCTGCTGGTAGTAGGGGTCGGCCTATTTTCTGAATACAATTTTAATACCCCATGGAATTTATGTCCCTATGATCTGACTCATAAGATGTACTCACAATATGCTAATGTGCATGTAGCGTCATAAAGCCCTCTCCTTCCTTTTTATTATAGGCCTATGCATTGTCATAGAGTAGCCTAGTTTTAACAAATCAGATTAGTTAGTGCTTCCTGTTTTCTTTGTTGTGTTTTCATACTGTCCTAAAGCTTATTATAGTTGGTAAGAGTCTTCATTACCCTCAGAGTACTTGCATTTTGGGAGTATGGCCTTGGGTTGACAGGCGGGTATCTTAGGGTAATTATTCGCCCCATTCTGAACAGTTCATCAACACATGACTACAAGAGACGCGACTCCACACTTAAACAATCGCAGCAGCGAACTTCTTTACCTTTGGTCATCGAGCCGCATTTTGTCGATCTTACATCACAGGCATATTTGCTCTTCCTATTTAGATCATTTCCTGTCTTTGAGAGTCAACCAGAGTGATTCAGCCGTACAAAACAATTATGGACAGAGTGTTTCTAATATTTTAAGCCTTTATTTATATAATTGATATGTTGTTACAGTTTTGAACTGTTCCTATTTTGATCATGAAAAATAATAATTATTTAATTCTTAATTGTTATTAGTATAGGTTTTCACCACGAACACATAACGAGTAATAAACAGATTTTGTTTAATCACTATAAGCCTACAATTTTTTATGATTACAACTCATTTGTTGAACTTGGTCACTCGCATTATTTCATCCTTCGTCAATTTTATTTTTGAATCAGGTTATATTAATCCGAAAGTAATTAGGTTTCTTAATTAATTAATTACAATAAAAGAGCATTTAGTTTGAAACAACTTACATACTCACATGCCATTTAATGACTAGAAAGAAGGTGCTGTGGTGCTGGGGTGGGGGTTCGGGTGTGTCAGTCAATGACAAGATGTAAACGAAACCGGCCATTTTGTGAATGGCTAGTAGAACACAACATCCGCACGCTTTTAAGCCGAAGATGGTTTATTATTTAGCTGCTTAGGCCACGATATTGACCTTTTGGGCTATTTTTTATCGTTTACCAAATGGTTTTTATAGCTTTGTAAAAATGTAATTTTTTGTATTTTTGGTAAAAAAAAAACAAAAAACAATACTTAGGATACAAAAAATATATTTTAGGTTCCCTTAAGTTTTTTTATACATGCTTTGACTACAAGAAAGCTTTTTCGAAAGACACGTTTTGCCTTTTTCTAGACGGTTGTAAATAAATAATTAGGTGTTATTTTGTCTATACTAAAATCTGAAAGAAAAACACCATCTTTATTATCCAACAGTACAGTACATCTTGATCTTTTGGCCCCTCCTGAGAGCCGAAGAAATTTTTTTAAGAAAACGTATCTCACCACCATTTTATATGATTATAATTAGCGGTGTGTAAATAATACCTAAAATCAATTATCGACAAAAACGGTCATTAGGACAAGTATAAGTACCGACAGCCAATTTTAAAATGTGAGTAGAGGACAGGATTTAGTTTTTTATTAATTATTGACTTTACTTAACAATATTCTGCAATTAGATAAAACTCAAATCCAACATTAGGAAGGCGATTATGGGAACATCGCGTGAGCAACTGTTGCAATCATGCAATAATCCTTTTCCCATCATCGTGGTTTTCTTTTTCTCCGTAATTAATGGACACTCGGCCATTGGCTATCTCCAACTCTACAAAAGAGACTGAGGAAATAGGTGAAAATCTGAAGCTGACAATCATTGATTGGTTCAGCCCTGAGACAAGTAGTAGGAGTCTCAATGCTAGTAAAAGATAACTAGCTGAAGAAATTGATTTCCAAAATCAAAGTCTGATAAAAAAATAAAAAAAATACCAGAACTACTACTAAAACTACACCAATCTGCATCACTGTATTATACTTTTGACTAGCATTTCTAGTGCAATCACTATCTAGTGTACTCAATCAAACATCTGCTGCTATGCCCTGAGAGAACAAGCCTTTGTGGAGTCTTTTCCAAGAACTCGAGTTATCTAAATCTCAAATCTCCAGATTTGGTATTCATAAGGCTGCTTTCAGGCAATGTATATATGCAGTGTTAGCATATAATGCAGAAGGTGTATATAAAATGAATTGTAGTACAGAATCAGCGATAAGCACAGTAAATAATCAATTCTCTTCTCATGTTTGGATATCAATTAATGAATAAAATTGATATCCCAGGTTCAGTGAGCAAGCTCACACGTACCATGGAAACTGAGAGAAGAGAATCTCCGTCTTGTCTTCAATCTTTCCCTTGCACCACCAAGCATTTTTGATCTCCTCTCTTTAGCCAACTTCTTTTTTATTTCTGTAAAAATAAATTTGATTATTTGAGGCTAGTATTGAACAGCAAAATCAATTGCAAAAATATGAACCAATTGACAAATAAGATTATTTAAAAGCTATGGAAACAACCCTTAAGGTTTTAGACTAATCAACTTTTTAATTCTACTTTATAGAAAATTTTTCTTATCCCGCAGCTCAGCAAACAGTATATTAAACCGAAAATAATGTTATAACCTAACCATTTAATAAAGTGGGAGCTATTCTAATGGGGAATCTATAGACAAAGAAAATGTTCAGACACAGGGTTTCTTCTTCTTTCCATTTTAAAATCAAGACTAGTTCCAGGCTTTTCAAGACAAGTTAAGTTTTTCAAAACGACTTGAAAAATTAAATGACCAATATCAGTGTAGAGAAACTTGTCATATTTTAAATTACATTAATGACAGATTAATTTTATTTCTATTCTGATTTATAAAGATGAAATAAGGAACAACTTCCTTGTTTATGTCCTTTGGCCTACCTTAAAAGGATTTTTGGTTTGGGCGTTTTTTTTTAAGTAAAGACAAAATTAATGCAGCGATGGAAAACTCTTAACTAGCCAATTCAAAATTTAACTCTTCTAAACTAATGAAATAGCTACTATATCAAAGGTAAAGAACTAATATACAAGGATCATAAAGACATTTTCATTATAACTAGAGGTGTGTTGATATTTGATATTTTCAATCAACCTGAGCTCGAGGTAATATGGTGATGATCTCCTACAGTCGTGGAGATATCTTAATAGTTTTTCACAATCACTGCAAAATCGTAAATATGTTTCACTGTCACAGAAATATCATCACTGTCTTCCTCGGTCCCGGTAAAATCCTAAATACCACTCAATAGTAACGGAAACACCATCATCGTCTTCGGCGGTCACGGAAACACTATCATCGTCTTCCACGATAACGGAAAAACATCTCCTGCGGTTGTGTAACATCATCATTGTCTTCCACGATTGCGGAAACATTTTGATCATCTCCCGCGGTCGTGTAGATAACACCAACATTGAACACGGTCATGGCAAAATCCTGAATTTCCTCCGCAGGAAACGCCATAATCTTCTTTTTGGACCGCACAAAATCATGAACCACTACCGAGGTAGAGAGGATATTAGCGACACCTTCTGGAATCGTGGCTAAATTCTAAGCAATCCTTGGTCTTATAGACATGATCATTGTCTCTCGCAATGTTGGAAAAATTTTTATCACCTCCTGCAGTCGTGTGGATATTATCGTCGCCATCCGCGATCCCGGCCAAATTATGATCGTCTCCTGCGATTGCGGCAAAATTGTGATCATTTCTCTCAGTTGTGTAGACATCATCGTCGACTCCTGTGTTCGCGGAAACAATCTTATTGTCTCCTGTGGTCGTGTGGACATCATTGTCATCTCCCACGACTGCGGCAACATTCTGATAATTTCTCGTGGTTGTGTAGACATCATCGATCTCGGAAAATCCTAAATATCCCCTCAGTAACAAGAAACATCATCCTCGTCTTCTGTGATAGCAGCAGAATCACTTAGCTTCTCCTGCGGTGATATAGACATATCATCTTCCGCAATCACAGAGAATTCCTGTGGTCATGTGTACATTATTGTCATCTCGGTCAAATTCTGATTGAGAGTTGACACATCCATACTTAAAAAGTTTTAGGCATCAATTACAGACAGTTTACATGATTTTACAAGGTCAATAAAATTCCTGACCGTTACAACAAAATAAAGACTAAATCCTGACTTTTCAAGACCATTTTGAAATTCAATATGAATTCCCGACTACTACAAAACCCTGAGACAATGACAAGAAGTAGAGGAGATATTTCACCATTAGTTAATAGCTTAAGGGGCTTTGAAAAGAAAGTACAATAATGGTAATTTAGTTCAGAAAATTGTTCCTGTTCAGTGTTTAAATAAGTGCAAAAAACTACAATCTTCTAATCAATCTACATAGTGACAACTATCAGCAGGTGCATTAGTGTTTTGTCATAGTGCATTCTAGTGATGTGCAGATTTTAGAATTTCTTTATTTTGATATAAATTTCAGATTTTACCAGGAAGGGTTATATTTTGTAGCTTAAATAAGCAGAAAAACTCTCTTAAGGCATTCTTAAATATTTTCTAGATGCTATTTACAAAATATGAGCAGCTAAGAGGCATTCAAAGTCAACTGAGTAGTCACCTGTTAACTCGCAAGGGGAATTTGGTTTGCATTAGCCATTTATTTCTTTTAAAAAATTCAGTAAAAACAAGAAACAACTTCAAAAACTTGGTTGTTAAGAAACATAACATTTCTTTTGCTTCTAATAAATATCAGTCACATGCTGAAGCTCTTTTGCAAGCAATTCATGGATTTGGTCTGCGAGCTTTAAGGTGATGTCACGCTTGTTCTCTCATTTGTCTGCTGTGCTCTATGTCACATTAACAGATGACGACATAAATGCTTTAGCTGCCTGTGATTGATAAGTAACCATGACAACTTGTTGAATGCGTTGTGTGGATGAAGAGAAATTAAGGGGAAGAATAGAGAGACCTTAGAAGATATGACAATGTTTTTATGTTGTTCTTATCTTTGTCTTATTTTTACGAGTGTTGGCATTATTTTAAGGACTTTTGTTTTTACTTACTAAACTTTCAGTTTTGTTCCTTACTTGATTTATTGATCACATGTTTTGTCGAGTTTGAGGAAGCTGTGATTTTAAAGAGAACCAAAGGTAATGAAATTAAAAAATCATAATAGCGCAATACTAATACAGTATAAAATTTTATTAACGTAAAAAATCTAAATTATGACATTTAGAAAGACAGCAGAGACTTAGTATCGTCGGTATTACAGTAGAACTCCAATTATCCGAACTCCAATTAACCGAATCTCCGATTATCCGAATCGCTTACTTCAACAATTTTAAAAACGTAAAGCTACAGTAATAAGTTTTGCAAAATATCAAAGAATTGTTATTAAACAAATTTAGCCAGTGTGTAATTTTGGACTTTGATGGAACACCAAAATTACACACTGGCTAAACTATTAACTTAATAACATGTATAGAACACTTGTACTAAGAGCATTGTAAACTGTAAAAATGTTCTGATTTCATTTATTATTAATTAAAAGTTCACTTAGTACCGAAAATTAGGATTTATCTTTAAAATTCCCGGAATTCCGGTAAAACTCCGATTATCCGAATATTTGATTATCCGAATGGGGTGTGGTCCCTATTGATTCGGATAATCGGAGTTCTACTGTATGGTGTTTTTATTACCATGTCATTAACTTTTATACGGTGTGTTAGAATACCTGTGGTTATCAGTTATCCGTAATACAGAATTTTATTTCTTGCTAGAGACAATCCGGATGAGGTGTGCAAGCGGCTCTATTTAGGAGCCAGGCCAAGCCTAGCAAAAGCTTCAGTGACCAAGCACCATGTCAGAAAAACAGGCCCAGCCAAACTTTTATCCTCGAGACCAGAAAGCTGCAGCAAAGGTTGGATGATGGGAAATTTAAAATGCCACAGTAATTATTGTGGGGATAATCATCAGACTATACGATCTTAGAAGGTATACATTTTTTTAATGAAACTATTCCTTACCCACATCGAAACGAATATACTTGCCAAAATTCCCTTTGCTCAAAACGCTATGGACGACTATACTCTACAGAATGCATTGGCTGGTCTTGGTAGTTCCCAGTTTTGACTATAGTGTGCCCAGCTATTGGGGAACATCTCTTGTGATGGAAAATCACAATAACAACATTCTCCGCCCTCCGATTGTTAAAAATGGCGGCGCACTACACTTACCGGTGTAGGCTATGAGAGATGCCAGCGCTGTCGGACGGACTAACTCCGAAGTGTTTAGATCACTTGCAGACTCAGTCTCCAAGGAAAACTTTTGCTGCATATTGTTTTTATATCGGTTTTATTGTTGTTATATTATTATAATTATCAAACAAATAAGGTAAATGCACCAGTGGCTGACAGTGCTCCAGTAGCTGACAGTTTGAGTTTCTTTACATTATAATGTGGTCTCTTAAAAATATTTACACATGATTGCATTGTTAGAAGAACATATGTTTATTCTTGATTTGTTTACAAAAAAATCAGTTAAATTTAGCCCATACTTGCGGAATGGTGGTGGTTTGAAAGCGACCCTGTCCGTACACATCACATTTAGTCGATTCCCTTAATGAAATTGTTAAGAAAGTTAGTTTGGTTTTTTGTCATTTCGCTAAATTTCTTAAATAGTATTAATGATTAGGCTCATTATTTTGATCAATTATACCTTTGTTGACAATTTCATGAAAAAATTGGGGCGTTAGGGGTTTTGGATTTAAAATTATATCAATGTCAGGCATTGGTACACAAAATCCATACAAGTTCCAATAGCTGACAGGCGATATTTGCTACTTGCACAATATTAAATTGGTTTTACCCATCGAAATTTGCATGCTATTTATAATTTATGTGATCTCAAATTTTTATAAAATGATTTTAATTTTTTAATTAACAAGCCAAATTATCTAAAAAAATGTATATATGTTATTAATATAAATAAAAAATATATACAGGGTGACAAAAAAGTCTGGAAACGGTTTAATATCTTTTTAACTAAGTCCGTTAGATAATTCAAACCTTTCACATCAACTCACATGTATAAAAACTACTTTTTCCAAGAATTATCATTTTTTTACCTCTACCAGGGGACGACCCATGAGGAGTAGGTAAATAATCTTTAATGTAAGCATAGGTTGATATGCACATCATTTTAAAGGTCTGGTCAAGTGGAGTTCATTGCCGGAAACCGCGTCAAAAAAGGTTTATCCGTTACAAAATGGCGGTTGTCCAAAGTTCTTGTTGAATGTTCTGCACAGGCCTTACTATTGGTAAATACTCGTATTAAACATTAGCTTGAGAGCTGAAACTGTATTTTAAAGTCAACTAGCTCATAGACTAATATTATTCAAATTTAAACGGGTTTCAGA